AATATTTATTGTTCCTCAATCAATTAAATCAATTAGTCAGTTTCAATTCTGAATCTTCTCGTGCACTTGTGAAACTTGGGACGCCCTGTATTTTCCATCTTCCATTCCACATGTTCGTATAGTCTCGGAAACCGCAATAACAAAACAAGTGACGGCCCAGGCCCAGCAGAACAGTAACTCAATAAACAGAAGTAACAGAACAAGCCCATCAACAATAAAACCAAATATAACCGTGCCCACACAGCCCAGTCGACAAAAAAATAACAACAGGTGTTTTGGATCGTGATTCGTCACTCATTTAGTCATTCGGTGTCAAGACGCCCCTCTTAAGGTCCGGCAATCCGATTGCGTTGTCCCGGATATTTCCGCTGACGGTCGAAGTGGGTCAACCGTTGACCCCGCAGGCCGCTTTCACGGTCAACACGGGCGGACGTCCAACGCGCTGAGGCGCTAATCCTAGGTATTCTCCAGCGGTGCGGAATGGGTTTTCTATATTTTGAATTTTGTTTCTTCATGGAGAATGATAATTTAGGTAAAACTGTGTTATATCATCACTGTGATAGGACATTGCCACTTTGGTGTACATCTACGTCTCGACAGAAACAAGACGATGTTAAAAGGTGTCGTTTTCAGACAATACGGGAAAACCGTGCACTGAATATTTTAGGAATCACCTTTCAGTTTATAATTTCATTTCTCTTTCTCACATTATACAGAGAGTCAAGATACATTCTTCATGTAATACAGTTGATAAATATTTTAATAAACCATCAATAAACCCCGCACCTTGTGGCATCATAAGTTATTTACTGCATGTATCATGCGATGGTTTTTTTTTTCGAAAATTTTTTTTTGTACTTACGAATTTTTGTCTGAAAAACAAGAATTTTAATAATAATAATAATAAATTTATTATCCACAAAATATATAAATAGTACAGGGTACGTAATATAACAAAATTCAAGTGGATAAATGGCTATAACTGGTTTAGTTGTGGACTAATCCACCCCTGTTCTTCCACCAGTGCCAGTGAAATTGAAGAAAGAAATTTGAGAAGCAAATGATAATTTAAATGTAAAGAAACGATATTTTGAAAGAAAATGATAGGAACCAAGAGGGAGAGGAAAAAAGTAGAGAGCGAGAAGGAAAAAAGGAAAAAGATAGGAAAAGTGAGTAACAACATAGATAAGTTGATTTGTATGATCATTTCTGCGTGGACAAAAGATACTTTTTATATTTAACTTTAAATGAGTCGGTAGAAGATGATAGCAGTGAAGGATCTAATCTGTATATTACGTAATCGTTGGGTAAGGATCCTGAAATTTTCTGGAGCGAGAGATATACGAAAAATGCACTTTATCACCAAGTGGGGACATCTTCAGTAATATACACTGCTCGCCAACAGCCATGGAACCACCCCAATTTCCGGAAAATGATATTAGGAGTCAAAATAGGTTGAAAATCACTTCGGATTCGGAATCAGGACGCCCGATTCACTAACTATTCATAGTTTTCCTAGAAAATTTTTAGTTCAGAAAGAAAATGGTTTGTTCACATTTTCCGAGACATTTTCATTATCAAATTAGTGTTTTTCATACAAAGATACGTGAGTGGCAAAAAAAAATTTCGAAAAAATTTATTGTATACGTGTTTCTGACTTTTTCATGAGATTATACTTCAGAAAAAAATTTATTCAAAGAACTGGCTCCTTCCAGGCGCGTATACAGCTTTGTTCCATTGGTAGGGGGGGAGAGGGGTCAGGTGGAATTTTGTTGTTGTTCAAGTTGGAAATTTAACATAAACACCCATCAGAAATTTAAAAAGTTGGGCAAACATTTTCCACTGTCATAATGATAAAATCACAGCGGCTTACGGGATTTTATATACAGGATGTCCCGAGATTAGATAGAAAGATTTAAGCTACAAATTCTAGGAATAAAAATACACACAAAAAAAGAATCTCTTGTATTGAGCATGACTGCATTGGTTCAAGAAAATAATTTGTTTGTATATAACGAAAGAGATGATATTCTTGTTCCGAAACAATGATTTATTCAACAACTCTCTTGTAGGAAAATAAAGATATGCATGGTTTTAGACGTTTGTTATGTTGAAGTGAGAATTGAAATAATTCATTTTGAGAAAATCATTTACTTATTTCAGGAAAACCATAATTTTGAGATATGGAATCCATCCACCAAATGAAAACAATCATTTTCTCAATTTGCAACTATGGATTACTATTATTGAGAATTGTTCTATTTCATTTCAAAATTAACGATTTATTTAAGTCGAAATTCCGTAAATTTTCAATGAACACATTGATATTTTCGATCTGAATTTATAAGTTTTTTATAATGAATATTGAGCTCATTCTCTCCAATGGAACTATTTTCTTGTATCAAAATATCGACTGCTTGGATAAAAATATAATAATGTTTTTGATTCAAAACTGTGAATGATTCCCAATGAGATAACTAAACTCCACAGAATATTCCTGAAGAAATATATATTTGTTCCTTTAGTTGACAATAATCCCATGTATAGGTATGTACATCTTGGATCAGTATTGTCCATCAAGACCCCAAATGGTTATAGAATAATCACATGCCTTGATTTCGTCTTCTTGAAGTTTCGCTGGAAATGATAACGGTTACAAACAATGACATAAGTATTATGATTGATTAAAAACTCACCTCTATAATATGTAATATCGTGACTCCAGTAATATCATGCCTTCTGGAAGATATCGGGTAAATAGATTTGAGATACTCGGCAGGAAACTTTCTCTCACCTAATCTCAAGGTCTTCTCAAGTCTTTGCAAGTCATTTGTAGATAATACTTCTTCATTCATCAACCAGTCGTCATTTTGCTACAATAAAAATTTCGAATGAATTAATAAGCATAATATTTTCATAGCAGGATACTACTAAATCCCTGTTATTTTGATTGAAAAATTGTTAATTCACTCACAATGACTATCGATATTTGGAAAGGTACCTACTTACCAAGGGAATTCAATGTTTTACCTTCACCAGCTCTCTACAAGTTCTGCATTTGTTAGATATTTATATTCGAAGACATTTCCACCTATACACACTCGATAAAACATTCAGAATTTTCAAACTTCGCAGCTCAATGCCGTTTCGCCGTTGTGGGCCTGTCATAATGATGTGAGCATGGTCAATAATGATTGAAGACTGAGGCCTGAGTTTTGGCAACAGGATTGCTTACCCTTGATTTCCGAGGGCATATCATTTTCTTCCAAAGAAATACCTATTCATAGACTTGAATCAAGTAAATGAAGTATTGAATCAAAATGTAGCTTCTTCAATTAGAGAAATTATTAGTATCATCAAGTTCATCAAGTTGAAGATATTATATTCCTTTCATTTGAGAAAATTGATATTCATATCTTTGAATCAAGTAAATATGGCATTGAATAAAACTATCAGGAGTCTTCGATTTGATGAAATTATATTTCCAATATGATGAAATTAGAATGCTTCATTTGAAGAAATAATTATTTATATTTTTGTTTAAAGAAAATGGCGTATTGCCTCAACATATTAGGTTTTTGCAATTCAAGAAAACTGAATATGTCATTCGATGAAATGGACATTCTTTGATTTGAAGAAATGTATACTTATATTCTTGGATCAAGCAATAAATTTATTGAAACAAAATAGTACGCTTCTGCGAATTGAAAAATCGTTTTGATTGAGTTGAAGTAATTAATTTAGTAATTCAATGATTACATTCTTGGTTTGAGAATATATTTCAAAAATATGACACTATTTTCTTGAACATACCAGATTTCTCGACTCAAAAGAATATGCTCAATTCAAAGAAGATATACAATTGAATTTTCAAGAGAATGGGTTTTCTCATTCGAAGACATTTTTTTTCTGTGTGTAGTAAAAAAAGTTCATATAGGTAAACATGAGCCCAGAAATGGCCTCCTGGCGAGTTATAGCCATCTGAAAGAGGGCCCGGGTTCATGTTTTTTTTGTAAATATTTTCGAAACCCTCCCTCTGTGATGAAATAACGAAATTGTGTACATGTATATAACTTTTCCTGTCCGATTTAGGAATGGTAAGAATTTTCCTAAATTTTGATCAGGGGCGTAGGAAATAGGTGGGGCTAGGGGCATTTCTTCTCCCAACTTTTTTTTTCATGCAATTTTCGGCAGTTTGACGAGGAAATATGAAAATATCATTTTTACTAAAAAATGATACTCTTATTCAGTTTAGATAGCACTCACCATTTTCGAGATAAATTGATTTTGAAAGTCTGCTGCGTAAAAAAATAGTACCTCCAATATTTTGAATCAAACATCACGAGTAGATGTTGAAAAATGGGTATTTTCCATCGAAACATAATTTTTGGAAAATTTGGCACCCTATTATAAGCAAAGAGCGCTATTTTTATTACGCAGCAGACCTTTGAAATCAATTTATTTCGAAAATCTCGTCGAAAATGGTGAGCGTATCGAAACTAAAGTTGATCAATGTGTTGTGCTTGTGCTCGATTTTCCTGTAATGATACCTATCCGTTACTTTTGAAATCTGCAGTCTATAAACATTTATATATAATATAAATATTTCTGATCAAAAGTACAAAATCTCACATTTTTTGAAAATTATATATTTCTTCAGTACAAAATTCCAAAAATGTTTCATCAAATAGAAACCTAAAAAAATTTCTCAATATTCTTATTTGTCCCGTATTACCAGATGCCAGCTGTACTTCCATCAGCGGTCTAGTAGTCTTAATAATAATAATATTCACAATAAATTCATCTCTAAAATGAAAAAAATCCCGCTCATACACCATCATGAAAAGTTTGATCGAAATCAAAATGTAGCACTTGAACTACCAATCACGCAAAAAAAAATTATAGAAAAAAAATCACAGCCGTTCAAAAGTCACTTTATGGATGTAGAATATTAGATATTATGAAAAAGTGAAAAATTCTTAAATGACTTTTCTTTTCAGATTACAAAATGATCAGGCAATTATCGCTTCTTCTCATAGGAGCTGCCATGGTGATGGCACAAAGAAGATTAGCATTACCGGATCCTAGGAGTTGTGCAAACAGTAAGTAATACACATTATTACACACTATCTTTCAATCCTCAGACCAACAAGCAACTTTATTCTCTTTTCCAACCCCCTCTTAATGGTATGCAGGAATGCTTTTTTTAAGTAGGCTGCTCTAGGGCACTTAATATCAATCATGATAATAATGGGTTAGATATTCCCGCTGATTGATTTTGTTCTTGTTATTATCAACATTCATCGAACAAGAGCCAGTGAGGAATTTCGATATTTTTGATACCCAAAAGGGGGGAAACGCGTGCCACTGGTCAATCGGGAAAGTTCGGAAATTCTGGCAGCCACCTCTGGCAGCCCACTTCATGTAGGTTAAGAGGTAATCCAACAAGGCCTAGAAAATATGGGAGAAAAAGTTGCCACACCCCCCTGTAGGGCACCACTGGATAAAATGTCCGGAATGGCTTCCTGGTCAAAAAATGACCCATTCAAAGATGAAACCATAAACCGAAGTTGAATGCATTACATTCAATTTTTCTTGAGATACTGCGAAAAAACTATTTCAATTTCTCAACTTCAAGGCCCTGTATCTCGAGAACTGAACACTTGAAGACCCTATCTCAGTGATTATGAAATCACGAGGGCTAACACCTGTCAAGCATTGTCGTTCGAATTTCGCAACACCCTGTATAGAGCTATGATAACGTATGATAATGAATGAAATGAATGGTATGAAATGAACTTACGTTATTTATGGCATAGGTAGGTCTCGGGGTAGGAGGGGTAGGTATCTGGTAAACTTCTAGCAGGCAGCTCTGCTCTGTTGGATATTTTCTCACTACAAGCCACAACTTTGTTTTTTCATTGGAAACACTAATATCTGTATGCTAGTTTTACTTTCGCATTTGACATAGCCAAAAAGATTAAAAAGAAAACGCCACTCAAACACTATCACTGAGTTCTGTTCGTGCTTCATAATATAAGATATTCAAGATTGATTCAAGATTTCAAGATGGCGGAATTCCGATTTCCTCTTCTTGCCTACTCCCCTACTTCCTACTTCCAAGTTCCAAGGCCTACTTCAACTTATTGTTATTATGTCTAAGTATCCGCATGCTGGAAACGTTAGAGTATGGAATAGGGTGGTAGGTGGTGGTAGTACAGGAAATGGTTTTAGGTTTGAATCGATTTGATTACTGTAGTACCTATTAAATATATGACACATACAATTTTTCTCATTGGAAACAAACATTTTCGTTGTATAAACGATATGAATAATATGCTGGTTCACTTTTCCATTTGAAAATGACCAGAGTCAAATAAGACGCCACTCAAAACTCAATCACTTCTTCTTCCTCTTCTTTTGTTTTTCTTGGTTTTCTGCATATTTTATATCTACTACTCATATATGAATCATAACTGTCCTCAAAGCGGGACCAACTTCTGTCTTTATAGGTAACGAAATCGACCAATAGGCGTTGATGCCGACGTAGGGAAAAAATAATACGAAACCTGTTAAGCCAATATGGCTCACAGAACTCATATTACGTAAGTAATATGAGTTCTGTGATATGGCTGTTTCCATCCTTCACTTTTCGTCCTTATAGATTCAAAATGTACCTCTCATTTTGGTCCCATTCTTGTTGAGATATCGTACAGGCGATGAGCCATGTATAGAAATAGTAAATATATGGTTTTCCAACTCCTTGCGGTGCCAGTTTCACCAGAACAAAACAAAAACAGAAAAAAACAAGAGTAAATGGGAAACGAATTCGCAATTCTTCTTCTTGCTTTATTAAAATTGTGTCTAAGTAGCTGCCGACAGGAAACGTTAGAAATAGTTCAGATGGTTGGTAGGTGTAGGGTGTAGAGGTGAAAACTGCATCATTTAAAAAGGAACAAAATTGTTAGAATCTATCTTAATTTTAATTCAATTACAAATTCAACTTCATCTGTTATCGTTCAAGTTAAACTTTCTTCTTTTCTGAAAAAAAAAACAATAATTTAGATCATTTCATGAAGACTAGAGTAGGTAATCCAAAAAAATTTTCAATTATTTCTAGTTTCTTCGTCAGCTTTACTTCATTCATAATTTTTCAGGAGTTCGGCATGCCACCTACAGAGACGCCAGAGGCGTGACGCATTCCTACTTCTTCAGCTGGGAGCACCAGCCCACCAGAGGACTCGAAGTCGATTGGCTAGACGCGAGAAACATCTGCAGGCGACACTGCATGGACGCCGTTTCTTTAGAAACGCCTCAAGAAAACGAATTCATCAAGCAGAGGATAGCCAGAGGTACACAACTTCTCTTTCAGAAGGGATAAGTAGAAGTAGACCCTTGTTTTGGAGTTGGACAGGTTGTTTTTTTCTGTTCTTGGAACACAACGCACCAACTCCACTAACCTAGAAACAACATCAAATCCAGTGTTGCCGTTACAGAATTTTGATTTGTACTAGTAGTCATTCCGAAATTGTACTAAATTCGAGTATATTGGACGTAATTGAGAAAATAACCCTTCAAAATTTACGATTAACACATTTGATGAAAAACTTTTCATTTATAAACATTTGAAATAATATAATATACAGCACATCACAACATCTCTGAAAATCGTAGGTCATGAAATAATTATAACTAATAAAAGCCGAATATAAGAGATGACAAGGAACAGATCACTGATTACAGATTGAGATCAAATACACTATCAAATCAATTCATCAATAACAGCTCATTGTTTATCTGTTGTATTGGAAATTATGGACTTTTTATCAATGAGGGCTTCATTAGGATTCCAATTATAACATATCTTCTTCAAATAATTGTTTTGTATATAATATCTCTGCAATGGGCTATCCGGTTCTTGTTTTTGTACTAGATTTGACGTACTAAATGTGTATGAAATGTACTAGAAAAATACAATAGTACTAAAAACGGCAACTCTGATCAAATGGCAGGATAATACCAATGACGGCTAAATGGACTGTCTGACGAGTACTACATGACTGTCCAATCACTCAGTTCAGTGTATTCTCCACCAGAGGGGTTTACTTGCCGTCCTTTGCAAGGTTGGTAGAACTGATGACTATTTTGTAGAGGAAGGTTGCCTCGATCGCACCCCGCGAGTAACCTTGAGTAACTCATGACGTAATAGGCCCTTTCTTTTGCACGAAAAATGTAGCACTTTCGTACACTTCGTGTATGATATGTACGCCGGCGCCAATTATTCAATTGACAGTTGTCAGTATTTTCGAATATTTGAACCATTTTGAACTTGAAAATGTAAAAATGATAATTTGTTCGGTCACTTGTTAAAATTCGTACAAGTGTAATAAGACTAGTGAATTTTGTTTGTGTTTCCATTAATTTCCACAAGATGAGTCTATTCGTGAGAAATGGATTCAATTTTGTGGACGTAATTTTAATTCATTCAATACCAAAACTTGGCGAATATGTTCTGCCATTTCGATGCCGAGGATTTTGAACGGCACAAGCAGAATAGCTAAATCACACACCAAAGAGAAGAAAACTCAAGGTAGGAATCCCATCAATAATACCAAATACTACAAGAGAAACACCATAAGTATGGAAGTTTGGAAAAATGATCAGGACCAGACCAGTTGTGAATGTTGAGATTCTTGCTGAACGGGTAAAATGGACATCAGAAGATATCACACGTGTTTTCAAGTTGAGATATTTGAGCAAGAGTACGTTACCCAACGAAGAGGAGCTATGTTTATTTCAGAGATTCCTTGAACTATCCTTTATTATAGGTTCACTTATAATTGTAGTGTTATTTTTTATTAATTTTGTTCAGAATCATATTTTGTTATTTTTTTATGCTCAAATACTTCGATCAATTGCTCTGTTTTTGACTATACAATATAATCAAACAATGAAATACTATTTCCTCTTGTATATTCTTTAGGTATCTAGGAAAGTTTGTTAATTTTTCAGAATACAGAGTTATATTGATAAAATAAGTGATCTGTTGTGTACGAATATTGGTCCACTGCTACTACTTCTGGATCATCAGTTGATTATTCTTATATTTTCTGTAGTTTCTTGTTCACATTATCTGATTTGCAGGATATTTATAGGATGAGTAGGTTCATAATCAATGCATAAGTAATCACTATAGCTCCATAATTATGCTCCATACCTCAAAACACACATACCTGGTACCACGACCTGGTAAATAGCCCCTGGAACAAAATTTCAGATAGGTATTCCTCTCTGTACTACTGATCCATCCAAAATTGCCTTCTCATTCCGAAGATTGAAGGTATTATACAGAAGTATATGTAAATATCCATATTTTATAATGGTACTTACTTATAATTATATACTATAAATTGATATAAATATGCTGAGCAGACCAAAAAATTTGTATCATGTTTGTATACTCTATTTGGTAAACATTTCATGACATGTCGCTTTAAGGTTGACAACTTGTCGTCTTACTGCCTGTGACGTCACGAGTGACCGTTTCCCCCCTTGCCGCACTATCGATCGAGGCAACCTTCCTATACAAATTATAATCAGTTCTACCAACCTTGGTCCTTTGCGGAGAAGTCATTTGTTTCGCTCTTATTCGGTTGTTTTCCAATAACATAGGTTATATTGAATTATTATTATTATCAAATGCCAAAACTTATGTCACTGTCAGGTCCCTGATGTGTTCTGTTGAAAATCGATAAATTCCTTTACTTTTTCGGAATTTCATTCAATCAAGCATTCTTCTTTGTGTTTAGTTCTGGTAGTTTATTTATTCAGGTTTGCTAGTTGTGTATTCATCATGTATTTACAGCTTTCTAGCGTATGAAATGAAATGTATGAATAATCGTATCAAATATGGGGTTTGCTTTTTCGAATCTCATACCCAGTGATAAACTCCACAGCAAGAATGGTCGAATTTCATTTTGGAAGGCATTGGTAAGAATATGATTTTTCATGTACACTTTTCTGATGATTTTCAATTTCAGCCTCGATTCCACCATTAGAACACTGGTGGTAATTCTGGTGTTGAAGTTTGTGTCAATGATTTTGGAAGACACTATAGAGTGATGATCAATAGCACTACATAATATGGCGACTTATCAGGATGGGGACATACATTCAGAAAGGATCGCTTACCATAATTGTCAAGGTATGTTTAGTCTGCATTGTTGTTGCATAGCTAGGTAGGGTAGGAGTAGTATTGTTGAAAACTGTTTCATATGAGCCTTATGGTTCAAGCCATCAATGCAACGTATTCAAACTTAAATTATCATATACCTACAGGATGGGCATCCCAAAAAGCAACACTAAGAATGAAAGAGGAATGGAATTTAGGGTATGCTCTTTGAATCCCAGAGAATCATCAGTCTAGGCCAAAATCTGGAGTTTTTTCGAGTGCCACAACTACAATTTGAGGTACTTTATGTGTTCCTGCTTCCTGGCAAATATCACAGAATAATGATACTATCAGAGATTTTCAAAAATGTTTTTCATTGCTGTGACGATTTTGTCACAAAAAATTTAAATTAATTATTTGGCCTAAGTTTATGTATTATGTATGCCCATCTATCAATGAGATCCTGTATAGCTTTCTTGTTTTCTTGATAGAAGTATGAGATGGTATGTGAAATAAGGTAAAATGTTGTCAATGATACTAGCCCACTAACTATAGCTTCCCCAAGTAGATCTAAAAAGATGAAAAGAGTGCAAACTCAACTTTTGAAATGCATAATATATAACTATTTCTGTCTCCACAAGGTTTTGAAAATGGTTGAAAAATATAGATTGATAAATAGATAGATGATATGTATAGAAAGAATTTATTCAAGTAATATAATAATTTTATTCTATAGACAGTCACCATAATAAACAATTTCCTTTTCCATTGAATCAGCTAATGATGAGCTTATATTTGAACTCAAAACATGCTTCTCTGCTGATTTCTGAACAGATAATAGAAATTGTGGGATACACAATAATAATATCATCTTCCTCTTTTATTTCCAGTGTCCAAAGGATCTCCAGGTAACCTAGCTTCATCCTCCAAAGTCAAGATCCCATATCCAAGCCGTTTTATATTCATTGTGTTGCCATCCCCAGAACCTATAAAGAAATGTTGCTATAGAACATTCAATGATTTTGAAGTTGGCATAGTTCTATCAATTTTGCAATACAATTTATCTGTATATCTGATATGAAATATATAAGTATGAAATGATGAATTTATATTTAATTTGCTATTCATGGAGATACCTGATAATGTAGTTAAAATGCCTGATTATTTTTCTGAACCCTCACCTAATTAAACAATTGTTCACAAAGCTCACCTTATATAGTAAATATTCTGGTTATGCATAGATAGCATCATCAGAATTGAATGTCTCCAGTCATCATTCAATCAAACCTCATGAAGAGCTGCTTCAACATTGTGTTGAGAAAATTCAGTATCTTCCTGAAAATACAAATTAAGAAATATCACTTGAGATCACAGATTTTGTGAAACAATATGAAATGTTGCAGTACATTTCACTTTGAGAATACAGCAGTATCTGGTTATTAGGGCTACCATGGCTCTTATTAGGCAGTTAAAAATTCAATCAATGGAATAATTGAACATGTCCTTACCTATTGGCGAAGATGATTTCCACTTGAATAGCATTATTATTTATGCCTATAATAGCGTTATTTGGCATGAACACTCCTAACCACTTCATTTTGTTGGCCTTTTCACAGTTTTACTTGGTATCTCGAACAAAGCTCTCCAATCTCGAGTGACAATGAGTGACAGGCTGACAATAAAAAAAATTGTCAACAAATAATGCAGGTTATGTTGAATAGCTCATTTGACACAGGAAATAGATGACGCCACTTGCCGTCCCTTCAAATTTTCATTACAGGGCGATTTGGTGATTTTCGCTGAATGAACAGTCATGTATAACCCGTCAGACAGTCCATTTAGCCGTCATTGGATAATACATACGCAAAGAACTTTTACGCTGACGACCAATGAGCGAGTATTAACATTGGTTGATGCACCTGCGCAGTATATGTCCAAGCACAATTTCATTGTTAAACTAACTTATTTTGTTGTTTGCAGGTAACGTGAGGTACATTTGGACATCGGGCCGCAAATGCAACTTCGCTGGTTGTGACCGCGGAGATCTGCAACCCCCGAACATCAACGGCTGGTTCTGGTCCGGGTCCGGAGCCAAAATCGGCCCGACCACTCAGAGGAACACCGGCGATTGGAGTGCCACAGGTGGTTTCGGGCAAGCACAGCCTGATAACAGAGAAGCTGCTCAGGTAATTTTATTCAGCTGTTTATTCCTGTAGTGCCTGACGGCACTTTAGAGTTTCTTTCATTTCTGTCTTCGTTTTAAATATCAATATCTTCCTTCCAGTAAATAATATGAAAAATCGAGAAGACAGGACAATTTTATTTTCAAGGGGGACGCTTAAAATGAATTTTTTGGCCCTAGGAGGGATATATGTTACCCTTAGAATCTCAAATGAGAAGGGGGATCAAGTGGCACATCATTTTGAAGGGGACTCAATTATCTTTTCGACGGTATACCCTAGTTTATCATTTCCTGTTGAGAAGTTTCCGAAAAATTTCGTGTCAATTAGAAAACTTCCCATCCTTAATATACACACACTAGCACAATTAGGGGAACGGGTAAAATTTACACTAAGTTTGACATCAATTGTCTCTCGCACCGATCACTCGATTCAAATTTGTTTTTCACGAATTGTAGCTTCATTCTTCACGAATACATCTGAGAAATAACCACCTCCAAACGATTCGTCTTTATATCATATACAGGGGTATAAAGAAAGTACGGATTTTTCGGTATTCTTTAAGACATCCTCTGTGGAGTGAACCACTGATAATTAAAACGATTTTCCAACACCAAATTATAGCCCAATCTATCCCGAATATTTTCGTTTTTATTCATCTTGATATCCCAATTATCCAAGAAAATATAGAGTTTCAAAGTAGAGGTGGATATTGGTATTAATTTTACCACCTCGAAACTACTGTTTAAAGACACATATACGAATACTCTCATGAATATGCAGGGGTGATAAAAGTTGCTCCAATGTTCTTTTGGTGAAATGCTATTTTTGTTAATCAACCTTGGCTATTTTGTTAATGTCATTAATTATTGTCAAAGTCAAGCGATCCACAATTCATAAATTTGAATAATGAGAATTCAACGTGAGAGATTTGACTCCTACTAATGTGGTGAGGGCTGTAGCATTAATTGAAAATGACCAGTGGGGGCAGTGGGCCAATGTTCTTTTAACATATGAGAGCCGCATCTGCACCAATTCAATAGATGGCAGGGAAAGACTATATCGCCGAGGTGAACAAAATGAACAATTCGATTTTACTGCTTCTGTCTCCTATGAGGTTTAGTCACGGTTAGGTTATGTTAGTCAAGAAGACACATTTTCAGATCCAATTTGAGTTTTGAGGTGTAAAATTGATACCAATATCCACCTTTCCTTTGAAACTCTGTATTTTCTTGAATAATTGAGATATCAAGATGAATAAAAAACGAAAATATTCGGAATAGATTGGGCTCCAATTTGGTGTTGAGAAATCGTTCCAATTATCAGTGGTTCAGTCCACAGGATGTCTAAAACAATACCGAAAAATCCGTACTTTCTTTACACCCCTGTATATGATGGAAAGACTCATCGTTTGAAGGTAATTATTTCTCAGATGTATTCGAGAAGAATGAAGTTACATTTCGTGAAGAAAAAAAATTGAATCGAGCGATCGGTTCGAAAGAAAATTGATGTCAAACTTAGTGTAAATTTTGCCCGTTCCCCTAATTGTGCCAGTAAATAATATAAAAAATCGAAAAGATAGCTTTATTTCACTCTCAAGGGGGACACTTTAAATGCATATTTTTAGACCTCTTGATTCAACCCCCTAGGAGGGGTAGATGTTACACTTTTAGAACCTTATATCAAAAGGGGGTCAAGATTCACATTATTTCAAAGGACGTTCAATTCTCTTTCCAACAGTACTCTAGTTAATTATTTTTTTCTGAGTACGCCACTGAACAGATCTCGATGCTGTTTTTTTATTCCCTCATTCAATACCTAACTGTCAGCCCTCCTGAAAGTTTGTGATATTTTAATTGGTTTACAAAGAAAATTGATCAAATTCAATTTAATGCATGCCTCTGTAATACTCTTCAGAATTATTTAATTATTGTAGGTTCGTACTTAATTTTCGTAGAAAATCATCAATCATATCAATGATACTCAATATGAGGCACACATTTCTCCATGAATTCAAAGACAGTGTGTTGGGAAAAAATAAAAATTCAAATCCAACGCCCTGTAGAGGCTAAACGGAGCTTTTCGGTATAGAGGTAAGTTTGGTTCAATCATCTCAATTTGATCTCAGGAGTCGATAGTATCATTTTGTACAGACCTCTCAGGGACACCCTGTATATAAGTACAAACATTTCCAATTAAGACAATTTTGTCTACGACAAATCTGATTTTCATCTATAGTTCGGACAAAATCAGCCTGATAACATTAGATGTGCTCTGGTAACAGTTTTTTGTAAGAGTTTTATAAGAGTTTTGTAAGAGTTTTGTAGGTTTTATAACAGCATTCAAGTACAAAAATTACCGTTTCAGACAAACAATTTTTCATTAATTATAGGTACAGTTCGGCCAATCACATCAGCCTGATCTCGAGCCTGATATAACGGAGAAGCTTTTCGGGTAGAGTTTTATAAGAGTTCTATTTTGGAATAAATTAGACATTTGTTATACTGAGTCATTTTTGTTGAAGTCTCATATTTCAAAATTCCTAAAAAAACTTCAGAGCACAGAATATTTCATGAGAATTTTGAATTTGAAATATTCGATCAATTCTATTCGAAAACCAATATCTTCAATGGGCGAGTGGACTGGTAATGAATTATTGGCATTATTTGCAATACTTTCTCACGCTTTTTTATGTATCATTGAATTTCAGAGCTAATTTCAAACGTAACGTCATGGCCGCTATTTGGCGATACGTCGAATGAATGGTGGCGTCAGTTTTTATGCTGTTTCGTTATTGGTCAGATAATCTTCTATCCCACTCACGTAGCAAGGTTGTCAAGTCACCAATTATAATCAAGTTATCAAAAAGATATGAGTCATGTCGTTGAATGAAACATAATAGGAGGAACTCATGATATAGTTCATTCTTGACTCTTTCGAGCAACCAGCATGTCCAAATATACTCCATACTCCATAACAAAATTTCATGTAAATGTTGGAGACTTGGCAACGTTGTGCTGAGAAGAGACCAGACCACGCCCACAAGTATTGCGCGCGGTGTTGTCACGTTCACCGTTTCAAATGTCCTCCAATGTGAAATAATATAATTACTATTTACAAAAATGTATTATTAAGCAATGAGCCACAAATCATAATGATGGGTTTATAGATTCAATTGAACTAACAATTAGGAATTAACAATTAACAATCAACAATTAATTATCATGAGGGTGTTTATACATATCTGATAATAATTATGAATTAGATGTGGAATGTCCTTTGTTTGTAGATCAATATGATGTTAAAAAGTAATTTTGGTCTCCACAATTCATGAATCCATAAAAAATACTCCAGTTAAGTATCACCAAACTCCACTTGAACAATAACAAATCCCATCTTCATGTTCTGTCTCCAGAATTTCCTAATTCTTAGTTGTTAAGTTGAAAGTTGGCCAACTTTGTAATTCATAATTCTTAATTTAATTGACAGATGTAAATGTATAAACCCTCATAGATGTTTCCGTGTTTTCAACTTTTCAAGTTCATAGTTGTTAGTTTAATTCTTAGTTTAGTTGGATCTATAAACCCAGCATAAGGGAACATTTTGAGACAATTGATTTTATATTGCTGAATAGGAATATTACATATACATAATTGAGAATCTATTAATGTTTGAATAACTAATATTTCTATAGTTCCCAATCGTATTTCAACAGATGGCAACTGTGCTACCCAGCGAGCACAAACATCCCTGGGATGTTTTGAAAATGTTGGCATGAAGATGTTATTTTGAGACGTAATATGCACTGACCAAAGAGGTCTTTGAAGGATATTGAAGTATTGTTTTTGTTCTTCGGTGGCATTTCTTTGTTTGCCTACTGAGAGGTATCCCTGAGATGTTTTGGGATGTTTTTTTGAGGCGTAACATGCACTTCCCAAAGAGATCTTAGAAGGATATTGAAAGTATTGTTTTTGTTATTTTGTGCCCTTTCTTTGTTTGCCCCACCACAACGTCTCATGCTTACGTCACAATACGATGAATTCTGATTTGTTTTCGATTTTGTTCTTCTTGTTCGCAATAATTGGCAATCGCGTTTGCAGCGTGTCACGCTCACATCACGCTGCTAACGAACAGAAAGGAATTTGGTGAAGTTTATTGTGTTAGAAGACTTATTTAGTTGCAGATGCAAGATGTGTTGTTAGGTGCCTCAGTGTAATCAATATATAAAAGTACGAATTCATCAATACACAGCTTCTCCGCAGTTGCAAAATCATGCATTGTGGAGAACATTTCAAAAATTGGGAAACCCATTTCCAATTATATGTCTGTGTGTAGTAAGCACTACTCAGAAACCGATTAAGAAGGTAATTTCATATCAAGAAAATATTTTTATGTTCAATCTATTTTTAATGCATTTTTTCATTCAAGGGAAATGGTATCCTAATGCAAAAGTTCATTTTGACAAAAGGCTTCAGAAAAGTACCTCGAAAATGTTTTTTTACAGCGATTTGATGTGCGCAAGACGCGTTGAAAATGTTCTGTTGTGTCCATGAAAAGGCTTTAAAAAGAACTAGGGAGAAGGTCGTTTTGTGACATATCAAGGACATCTCGATAATTGCCGCCTGCGGCGGATATTGGCTGTTCTATAATAGTTCTATTCATGTGTGAACAGAACATCGCAGTGGAGGTTCAATGTCTCGAAATTTCGTACTTTTAACATCTCTGAGATGTTTTTGTGCTCGCTGGGTATGGTCTGCCCCTACTTACGAAATCGTGACATCAGTTTTTACTCGCGGTAAATTTCTATCCGTTTGAAAATTACCTTGGCATTATTGATGATTTTAGCACCTGAAAATCGACCGAAAAATTCTAAAAAAATATGAAATCGGAAGGTATATGAGTGATGATACTATTAGAGAAATAAAAAAAATAGTCCACTCACCTATATGTTTCAGGACCAATGTTCAATAAAACTTTGTGACAGTTTTTTGAAACACCTTGTAACAGTCTTTTAATTGAAACAGCTTGCATGAATAATAATTTTTGTTAGTAGATAGATTCCGTGGGAGTTCACCTATAAGTACTTTGGCTACCCGTGGGTGCGACCCTGACCTTGTCCTTGTCTATTCATTATTTCCAAGAAACCAGTCTAAGATAAGTTCAGGTCATCGACTTACAGATCACTGCCAGTCAGCTGAAGCAAAAAAAAACATTCCAACAGATTCTAACGGACTTTTTCTCTTGCAGGGCAACGACGAGTCTTGTCTCTCCATCTTGAACAACTTCTACAACGATGGAATCAAATGGCACGACGTCGCCTGTCACCACGTCAAACCGTTCGTTTGCGAAGACAGTGAAGAATTGTTGAACTTCGTGGCTTCTAGGAATCAAGGCATCCGTCTTTAGAGGCATCGTAGAGAAATATTCGGCTTAGGAATATAGACAAACACCCAGTACCTTCACCTTACCGAAAAAATAATCATGCACTGTGAAGCAAAAAGCTTCATCAAATTCACTCCCCAAATTAATTCATTGAATTAGGTCAATTCAATTCTATATTTTCAAGTTTATTTGACGTATTTTCAGAACACCCTGTGTAACGTTTGACACCTTGGCTAATTTTGAGAAAAAAAAGCACTTATGCAGCCACAATAAATAAAAGAATGGTAACCATTGTATATATGCTTAGACTTACTTAGAATACCGATGCATAGTATTTTTATATTTCAATTATGATTATTTTTTCACTTCCTTTTCTCAACTATTTAATTATCCCCCATTTTTCCTATTCGCGTGTGAATATTAGCTTCCCCTGCTTTAGTTGTTAGTTTTGTATCTATTTTAAATTATATTTTATTAATAAATATTTGTATAAAAAAAGTTGTCTAATTTTCTTGTCTGTATGGTGTTACACAAGAGAGACAAAACCCATATTTTAACAACATTGAATCAAAATACCAATATAAATTCAAGAACGTTTAGTTTTTGCTTTCAGTACAATGTATTGAATAATTCAGTAATCTATATAATATTTATCTATATATCATGGATTAATTTTCGGGCAGAACACTGTATATTTTTCAAAAAATTAATTCTTATATATTGTGAGTAAGTATGAGGATATTATATTATGTATCACACCCTACTCTATTCAGGTTGGCATTGAAATAAGTGCAAATAATTCAAACAATGAGAAAGATCGATGTGGACTATCGAATGGCACTAATAAAAAAAGTTTAGGGATCAAAATAAAATTTGAGGTTATTCCCTTTTTTCCACCCAAAGTTCTACACTAGTTGCGTTTTATTTTTCCGATTGCGCCACCGGAATTACTTTGATGTGACGTTTTATTTGCAACTTTACCGATTCCGGTTGCTACTTTTCATATCGTCTCACTACAGGAAATGATGTGGAATGACTGTAGACAGTTGTCAGAAAATGGAATTAGATTTACGAAAAACGAAACTTTTTGAGAGAGGAAGACATTAAGAAGAAATATTTATCGTGAGGTTCACGAGTTTATGATTCTTTCAAGTAAGACAGGTGAAATGAATCTTCTCGGTCTCAGAGAATTTTCTTGAAGCACCACAATCACTGCTCCAAATATGCGTTGCTTCATTTCATCCATTTTCTTGATTTTCAAATCTAGTTTTATGATATTGAAATTATTCGGAGCTCAAATATATGAGTATAACCGGTATGATTTATTTTGTCAAATTCTATCATGCGAGGTCATAAAGCTTCTCGTTTTATTTGAAAACGTCATTCTGTTCCCACCGAAATTTCTGGTTAATTAAAAGAATTAGGAAAATTCTGATATCATGGGAATATTCCTTAGACTGTATCATATAAATGTGCTGAATATGTGCACTGATTTCAAAAACACCTTGTATATAGCTATCACAATTTTCAAGAAAACTAATAAAAAATGCATTTTCAGAAATAAATAATTTATTCAAGATCTCACTAGAATAGATAGAACATTATTGACCTAGCAAAGTTAAATTACTAAGAATCTATATCACAAAAAATATAACAATCAGCATTTTTCATATTAAGCTGGATAAAAAGATATACCTTTGATAATGCTACCATTATCCTCATTAAAGGTAATCACATCATTTTTATTTTCACCAACCAATTTATCACTCATGTAGTAAAAATGTAGAGAGGCAGTACCATTATCTATATCTAAATTAGTATTTGAAATTCTCAGGTCATATAATACATTTGGTTCTAGTATGGCAGGGTTTGTAAAAGATACATACAAATCAGATCTGTAAGGTATAAAATCCTCAATTCTCCTTGCTACTACAATATCTCTTCTGGCATTATGTTCACAAATTCTAACACTAACACTTCCCTTGTAATTTTCCCTAGAGATTTGAGGAGGCTCTATCTGAGTATTCACCAAAACACCAAACAGAATCATACTACGGCTAACTTTGAAATTAGAGACAAATTCTTCACCATGAAGCAGATCTAATCTACAAGCTATTTTAAATTCCTTGCGAATTTTGCAGGTTTTTGGAGTTCTTTCATGGTGAGTTGAACTATCAGGATCCTTTGGCAGTTCCAGTAGTTCATACACCAGAGGTAATGTTCTTGAAGTGATTTCATCTGAGCAAAACACTTTATCACAACAGTTCTTGCTGAAAAAATGTAGAATATTCTCTTCTTCTAAGATATTGACAATATTCTGTGGCCAGATCGGGATCTCACGTAAATCACACTCTACCATGCACCAGTTGATAGTATTTGCCAGGAGAGAAAACTGATCATGCCCTAAACACACTGTTTGCAAAATATCACATAAAGTACTAGGTTTCATATGATATTCACTGAAGAAAACTCCATCTACATAATTAATCATATCATTGAAGCACTTCTTCTTGATATCAAGGAGGTCAAACATATCTGCATACTCATAGCTCAACACCAGGCTACTCATTGTGAGATTATTTCTCACATAGGTGAGACAAACATGTAACAGATCTTTTAACATATATTTGTTGGCAATATAGAATAAACTCCAGGCATTTGCTACAGAGTAAATATCTATATTTTCTGTGTAAATATGATCAAGTACCTGATTGAACTCTTGAAGGCTTATATCACAGATCACTATTTCATCTTGGGCCATATCCCCATAAAGCATTTTCTCAAAAACGGGGCTGCTACAGGCAAGAATCAATTTGTGAGCTTTAACCTCCATTCCATTAATTCTGAATGTGCAATCTACGAATTTCTGGCTCTTGTAGAAGGCGAGAAGTCTCTCTTTCTTGTTGAAAGGTTGGACCAATCGTTCAATAAATATACTGTCCTTCTCCATCTACGAATAAATAATGAAATAGAAAAATATTACATGGAGATGCACAACACTCTCAACTTACCGCGTTAAACAACAACTGCACGCGCTCAAATCTCTTGATGACTAACAAATGTTTATAAACGAGGCTTATCCTTGAACTGAAAAGGACAAAGCCAAGGCCAGTACCACTAATCGGTCATCAGAAATCGTAAAAAAAGTAGTCACAAAAGGTCACAAATATCGGTCAAAAACTACAGCTGACTGACCACAGAACGGAGGAATGTTTAATTCAATAACGTAGAAGTTCTCAATAATGTCGCCCGAGTAGGATCAGGACCATTATTATGAAAACAAGTAATTTGATAATACGATTTGTAGCATGTTTCTAAATTCAAAATAAAAAATAAAATATTTTTATTACAAATGTCCGTGAGAATGGTTAGGTTCTTCTTCTTACTTCTTTTTCCACTTCAACACTTCCACTTCATCTTCTTTATTGGCATCAAGTGATTAAGTGACAGTAGATCGTAGATCTTAGATCAGCAGTCGGCAACTGTGGCTGTGACACATCAGTGTGGTGGGGGGATTTCTGTTTTCTGACAGCTGAGCATTTCATAATTTTCATAACATGTCAATTTGTTAATTTTATTTAAATAAAAAATACGAAAAGGAGATAACTATGGTATTTTAGACATTGAAAAACAAGCATTGTTATGGAGCATTTACTAAGGGGAAAATTTGGGTAATAAAAACACTTACGTGAGTATTTGAGGTTATAGTAACCTTTAGTAACTCCTGATATTTTAGCCGCATCATTATTAATAAATATTCACACTATCCTTTAAAATATGGATCTCAAAGGCATTCCCAGAGGGGGATCTGCAGTGTATGGAGTGGCAGGGCATTGGACAGAGCCAGGCCACTATTGAAACAACATTATTATAATGAAAGACGAGAATATGGGATGTTGATTGTGAAAGCTCTTCGTGGAGTACTAAAAATCAGATATTTGCTGATTGGAGGTGCTGTAGCAGGTGGTGGAGCCCTACAGAAGGTAAAAGTGTTTAGAATGAACAATTCTATCTTCTTATAAATTGAATACATTTTGTTTCTTCAGAAATACACTGATTGGAAAAATGGTTTGCCAGATTTGAAATGGCTAGAAGATGTTCTACCTGACAATGAAAAATGGCATGAATGGAGAGGGAATTTAATTGATTTCAAAGATAATATCAAAAATAATGTTGAAATAGATCCTAGACTGAAGGCCCTCTCAGAATCAAAATATAGGGAATTTCGAACTTGGTTTGATGGAAGATTAGATGATGCTATTGCAGCAGCTGAAGCTCTGGAAAAATCTAAACCAGGTATATCAACTCCATCACCTTATCTGAGTACATTCTTTCTTTTCATTACATTTTTATTTTCTCTTTAGGTGCTTTTACCACTGTTTCAAGAATGTCAACCATTATTTCAGATGTAAAGCAAGAAATAACAGATAAAACAGTGGTTTATGCCAGGCCTTTTGCGAGATCAGACTCTGACAATGATCAAGCAAGAAAAGATGCCCAAGAAAGGCTGAATCATATACAGGATGAGATGATGCAGACCCAAATTAAGTACCAGAGAGAACTGGAGAGGCTAGAAAAAGAAAACAAGGAGCTGAGGAAACAAAACCTATTATTGAAGCAAGGGAAAAAACCCAATACTAGGAAAATCAAAAGGAGTTTGATTGACATGTACAGTGAAGTGTTGGATGAACTGGCAGATTTTGATAGTGGGTATAACACCCAAGACCAGTTGCCTAGAGTTGTGGTTGTTGGGGACCAGAGTAGTGGGAAAACTTCTGTTTTAGAGATGATAGCTCAGGCTAGAATTTTTCCAAGAGGGGCTGGTGAAATGATGACAAGGTAAGTGGAAGTTTCAGAACATTGATCTATTCTTCCTATAAATTACTGATGATGCAGATTTTTTTAAAATTTTCACAGGAGAATTTGTCTATTGCCCCAAAAAACTCAATGTGTAAAAAGTGTAGTATTTTCTTGAAATCTGAATTCACACAGAATTAATTTGATCCTGAGGCCTGAGTATATAGAAACATTTTCTGTCCTCTCTTCTGAATCCTTCAAATTGTATTTAATTTATATTTTTAATAAAAAAAAATTGATGGTCACTTGAAAATCATGATTTTGATGATGGTATGTAAAGAAATTTTAAAATACCCATATTTTTCATGTTTGACTCTCCCAAAAAAAAGGCCCCTGATCTCTCAATTTTGGTGGTGGTATAGGAAAAAATAATGAAATACTAAAATCAGCATTTTTTACCCCCTCAGAAGAATATTAGTACACCCCAATGCCCAATGTACCCACCCAGATAACACAAGTACATTCATAGAATATTCATAGAAGCACATGATGGAACATTATTGAATGTTTTCAGAATATTTCCACAATACACTCTGAATATTCATGCACATTGTATGGACATCCAAAGTGGACTGAATTTCACATTCTCTGAACATTCTCAGAATTTTCTTGAGATGCTCTAGTTCATTATCAAAATATTTATGGCTCATTATTTGAATATTCTCAGAATATTATACAAATATTCAAGGGGTGTTCTATGAATATTCAAAACAGACTGTTCTAAATATTCTGAGAATATTCCTGGTGAGTATATTATAGGAAGGAAATTAAAAAAAGGTTGCTCTGGTATGGGGATATGAACCCACTCTCTTGTGATTATACAAAGCTGACACCTTCATAAACTGATGGATGATATATGAATGACAAGATGTCAACACTTCATTAGTAGGATTATACACGGGTATCCCATATAATAATTGGTTGGGTCAGAGAAAAACTTTGTGTATTGATACAAGTATAATAACATCAATATCTTGATTCAAAACAATAAGAGAATATTTTGAGAACATGTGGAATTGAATGTTCATAGAAAATTGGTTACAGGATGAAAATATTCTATGATCATTCTGAGGATATTCTATTAAAATATTCTGAAATAAGTATATTTGAACATTGTCATTCTAGAACATTTCATTTCAGAATCTCATTGGAATGCATTTTCAAAATATCATCAGAATATTCGCAAGGGATATTCCAAGAATATTCAGAATTTTCTGAAAATATTATTTCCTGAACAATCTGGAATATTATATCTTAGGAGCTTCTAGAAATGTAGCTCCATAATATTATGTTTGCTATTGAATGAAATATAGAAGAAGTAAAACTGGTAAACCAAAACATACATAACCCCAAATGCACTCGGAGCAGGAATGCAGAGGGTAGTTGGCTTCATTCTGACAGGATATGATTTTGTCATTTATGCATTGAAATATCTCAAATAGAGCTCAATCCTAAACGAAAATATCATTAAATCAATGAATCACTATCGGCTACATTCAATGATACTATCCTTCCTAATTTACTGCCATCGGTCAGATCAGAATGAAGCCGACACCCATGGCTCCTTCCTCTTGTTGTGCCTGTCAGTATTTTGAGTGGTGTGGACGGACTCGAAGTATTAGGCGCTGTTGCAAGATATAATTTGCAACTTTCCTAGAAAATAGATCCGTTTTATTAAGGAACGAATTCATTGGCAAAAAAATGACTGACAAGTTATGAAAAACATATTGTAATATACTATCGCAAAATATCATAATTTATCTTCATTAGTAATCAACTTCATTCAGCCAATGAGAGATTTATGAGAATTATACATAATACTTGACAAAGTAGGATTGAAGAACCTATTATATTCCATTTGCTGATATGATATAGTTATTATGCATTCAAAGAACAGTTTCCGGAAATCTAAACATATTGATGATTTTCAAAAAGTACGTCATAGAAATGGTGGAGGAGCCAAGTTCCTCTTTTATTTATTTTTTTCTGAAGTGAAATTTGATCCTACGACAAAAAGAAAAAATACGTATATATTATTTTTTTACAAACTTCACAGTGAGATAAAAACCTGAATATTGGAAACTTCCCTATTAAAATGATTGAACTCCGCGTGATTGTACCTTCTGCACGGAAATTTGAACAGAGGTGGCGACAGTGTAGAACTTTGGGTGGAAAAAGAGGTCTAACCACAAATTTTATTTGGATCCTTGTATTTTTTTTTATTAGTACCATTGGATGGAAAACGTCGAGCTTTCGGAGGGTTTGAAATATTTGCACTTATTTCAATGCCACCCTGTATATTACCTACAACAAAATCATGTGATCAAGGATTTAAAATATTCCACTAACACAGATGTGCACCAATATAACACAAGAACAAATGTGACCTTGTGCTGAAAGCAAATAGACTGAAAAAAACATAATATAGGCATCAAACTATATACCGGGTGTCAACGAATCTATTAGACAAGTCATAACTTCTAGACCATTAGGTGTATCAAAATGAGATTTGGTATAGATAAATGGTATGTGAAGAGGAGAGTTTTCACATATTTTCCACATTTCGGCCACTTCCGGTTTCACCGGAAATGGCTCCGGTTCTAACTTTTTAATTGGAACACCCTGTATATTGTAACATTTTTGGATTTCTGAGACAATTCTAGATCAGAATGTGACATTTTCGAAAGTTTTCATGCTTACTTAATTTTTTCGGAGTCACTTCTGAAATTACATCTAGGTGGCCATGATCGAAAGTAAACTAATCTAAGGACCTCAGGTAATATCAGAAAATTACAATCGCGGAGTTTTAGTGACAAGTATGATAGATCTGAATGAGACAAGTTTGGCAAAATTACATTTTCGTGTCTAACTATTATTTTTCAAATGGTGACCATTTTTTGACAAGCACTTTCCGAAAAAAAGATCTTTTGACGAATCTAACGATACTAATTTATTTGCGATTGGATTACAAATAAGAACATAAATTAAATATTACTGACGAAAATATTTCATAATTATTTATTTACTTTTGTCAAGTGTGCCATGGATAATAATTCATTTACTTTTGTAAGCACTTCCCGAAAAAAGGATATTTTGACGAATCTATAACGATACTAATTTATTTGCTTCAAATCATGGCCACCTAGATGTAAATTCAAAAGTGACTCCGAAAAAATTAAGTAGGCATAAAAACTTTCGAAAATGTCACATTCTGATCTAGGATTGTCTCAGAAATCAAAAAATGTTACAATATACAGGGTGTTCCATTTAAAAATTTAGAACCGGAGCCATTTCCGGTGAAACCGGAAGTGACCGGAAAGTGAAAAATATGTGGAAACTCTCCTCTTCACATACCATTTACCTATACCAAATCTCATTTTGACGCACCTAATGGTCTAGAAGTTATGACTTGTCTAATAGATTCGTTGACACCCGGTATAATACACTGCCAACTGATTTCCGAGAATTGCCAATAAAATAATTCAAGGTCATGAAGCATATTTTAATTGAAAACCCACTGTATGACATTCATGAATTTTCTGAAATAGTTGTGAGAAATAGGGATGCTTTTGGAGTGTCGTGAATGACTTTGTCTATACATATTTTCTGGATTTAATGATTGTCAAACGTGTCAAACTTGAACATTGAATTTATTATTTTCTTAGATAAGGTATTCCATTTTAGTAACGTCAAAGCAATTCAGCATGCATGTATCTGTATTTGTATTTTATTATTTGAATTGATGTACTTTATTGTGGTAATTTTATGAACTTTGCTCTTGTAGGTAACTGATCTCAAATTTCGTGACGTGTCTATAAACTCTGTGTTTCTATGATCAATAAAATTAGCATTATTATTATTATTATTTTGTGGAAATCGGTTGTGAAGTTTTTTACATAAACTTGAAATTGTTGTTAATTTCTCTCTCAGAGCTCCGGTAAAAGTGACCCTTTCTGAGGGGCCTTATCACATAGCCCAATTCAGAGATTCCACAAGAGAATTTGATTTGACCAAAGAATCCGATTTGGCAGATTTGCGAAGGGAAGTTGAATTGAGAATGAGGAATAGCGTGAAGGGTGGAAAAACCGTTTCAAGTGATGTTATTTCCATGACAGTGAAAGGTAAAAAGCAGTCAATATAGGAATATACCAAACTGTTTGAAAATTCTACGTTTGCTCTTATCAACATCATTTATCTTGAATTTTTAGGACCTGGTATTCAGAGAATGGTGTTGGTAGATTTGCCTGGTATAATTTCAGTAAGTGTCAATTTTTGAATTGAAGAAACCTTCATTATTATTTTGTTTAATAATTTCTAGACACAAACTACCGATATGGCATCAGATACAAGAGAGAATATCAAACTGATGACTCAGACATATATGAACAATCCTAACGCCATCATTTTATGTATTCAGGTAAATTAAAAATGGGCGAGTGGACTGATCATGCATTATTGGCATTCAATTACTCCTCTCTGTCGTTAGGAACCTAAATCAATTTTTGCAAAACTTCTCACCCTTTTTTATGTAAATAATAAGTCTATGCGTTGTTCAAAATGGTTGAATTTCAGAGCTCATTTCAAACTTAATAAATGGTGGCGTCAGTTTTTATGCTGATTCGTTATTGGTCAGATAATCTTCCATTTGCACTCATGAAGCAAGGTTGTCAAGTCACCAATTATTATAATCAAGTTATCAAAAATATGTTTGAGTCCTGCCGTTGAATAAAACATAATAGGAGGAACTCATGAGATTAGAGTTCATTCTTGACTTTTTCGAACAAGCAGCATGTCCAAATATTCCTTATTCTCCATAACAAAATATCATGTGAATGTTGGAGACTTGGCAACATTGTACTGAATGCTGAGAACTGACAGGACCACGCCCACAAGCTGTGCGCGGAGTTGTCACGTCCACCGATTCAAATGTCCGCTACTGTGAATTAATATAATTATTCTTACACAAATTTATTTTATCTACTCCTATTGAATTATACAGGGTGTTTCAAAAAAACCTGACCCCCTAACTAGGGTAGGTAGAACACTGCAAAATAAGTTGGGTTTACTTTGTAAGAAAATTTCGTAACGGCATCCGTTATCAAGATACAAGGTGTTGAAAAAATATTTTTTTTACACATTTTTCAAGATTTTGACGAAACTACTGGCAACATTGTGATGAAATTTTGTATGGATGTTTTTTGGAATCTGACACATCGCATGCATTCGTTTTTATATCTGACTCTCATAGAGGGCACTAGTTACACGGTTCGTACCAAGTAGTTTTGAACATGACTTTTTTGAGGTTAGATTTTTCGATCCAAATTTGATGTGAACTTAGACATCATTCAATTTAAAACCAAAAAGGTACTCTTGGTAAAACTCGATACTGTGTACCGTTTTCAGAATATTTCGATTTGAAAATGATGAAGTGATAACTGTTGCTGGTATAAAGCTATGTATTATAGTGAGTATTATGAAAAATTATCACCTATTTATTGAAAACCGAAAACAAGAATACATTTCTGATGCTAAACTTATTGATTTAACAATGAATCACAAGAATAACATGGAAACAGATTTGACTAAGAACATGGATTACACTGTTTTGTTGTATCTTGAGCAGAAAGTTTATGCTACATAGGTAAATTCACGTCAAGAGTTGTAAGACATAATTGTACATCACTCAAATGACCTAACAGCTGATTCTCAACTGTTTGAAAGAATAATACATTCTCAAGAAAAGAAATTAGAATCGTGTATTCGTCGAAACGTAGGACATTTTGAACACTTACACTAACTGATTCAATATTTCATGTTTCTAGTCGAATATCTCTTAATTTACAACTTATGACTCTTTGTTCCATCAATAACTCCAGTGCAAGAATGATTTTATTGTTTTTGAATCTGAATAAATAGGTAATTGAACTCAATAATATTCATTTTATACCAGCATCAGCTATTGCTCCATTATTTTCAAATCGAAATATTCCGAAAACGGAAAATTGTATCGAGTTTCACCAAGTGTACCTTTTTGATGTAAAATTGAATGATGTTCAAGTTCATATCATATTTGGATTGAAAAATCTAACCTCAAAAAAGTTATGATCTAAACTACTCGGTACGAAACGTGTAACTCGCGCCCTCTATGAAAGTCAGATATAAAAACAAATTCATGCGATGTGTCAGATTTCAAGGAACACTCATACAAAATTTCATCACAATGTTGCCAGTAGTTTCGATATAATCGTGAAAAATGTGTACAAAAATAATATTTTCAACACCTTGTATCTTGAAAACAGATGCCGTTACGACATTTTTTCACTGAGCAAACCCAACTTATTTTGCAGTGTTCTACCTACCCTAGCGAGGGGGTCAGGTTTTTGAAACACCCTGTATATCAATGATTCAACTGCTTTTGAACAATTAATAGCATCTGTAAACAAACAGCGTGAGTTATAATAACTCTCGCTACTATAACTCACTATAAAATACTTACATCGGGAAAGGCTTTTAGAATTATTTACGAACCAAAAATCAAGATGGCTCAGTACTTCTGTACAAGCAAGCCAGTTGCCTACGCGCATATTATGTGACGTCATCTGGGATACCAATATCAGCTGCTAATCACAGACAGATACCGTTGCCATGGGCGTGCGCAATGAATTCAATCATGTTTATTGAAATATCTATAAGTTTCTCGATCTGCATTCTGCTTAAAAATAATTCAATTTAAGATATCGAATAAATAGTCCACTCGCGTATTAGGGAGATTATATTTTTCTTCAAAGCAATTTTCTCCAGGATGGTTCAGTAGATGCTGAAAGAAGTAACGTTACCGATTTAGTAGCTTCCTGTGATCCCAGCGGCAAGAGAACTATTTTCGTCTTAACCAAAGTTGATATGGCTGAAGAAAATTTGGCTGATCCCAATAGGGTGAGAATCCAGTCATGTGAAATCATGTGAATTCGGCCAATCTTCGAATCTATTTTTTTCAGATACGGAAAATTTTGTCTGGGAAACTGTTCCCCATGAAAGCCTTAGGATATTTTGCTGTGGTGACTGGCAGAGGAAGAAAAGATGATGCCATTCAAACTATCAAAGATTATGAGGAGAATTTTTTCAGAGGGTCAAAACTCTTCAAGTTAGTTGTAATTTTCAAGAAATAACTCGGCGTTGATTTCATTTTGTGTTTTTTTTTAACTAGTATTTTTCATCGATGTTTGTTTGAAAAATTGAGAGGTATGAAAATTTCAATTCACAAAATTTTAAAACATGGAGTGGAATTTGTAGGCAATTTTTCAATATTTGTTTTAATTAATTAATAATTACCATCTTCCTCCTAAAATAATTTTACAATAACCTTTATTGACAAAAAATATTTATGATTCTTATATTCATTTTCGATCAATTTCTAGTTGCAAGGTTCCTACCATGGGTTTGTAGACAGGATTCATTTTCTCTTCATCTCCTAACTTTCGCTTTCAATTTTATTATTTTTTCAACTGCATTTTGCTTTTGCATGATATCTCAGTTATCTTTGGAGATAGAACCTTGCGGTTTTCGTGGTCCTGTGCCACATTTTTTGTGAAACTCAAGATGGCCTAATCAGCTTTGGCATAACTGTTTCCGTTTTTGAGATTCAGGGCGATTTTCAGAATCTATACATTTTGGACCCCCTCTATCTCTACGAAGTTTTTCAGCGAAAATTACAAACTAAAATCATAGCATTCATTTTTCGGGGTATGGTTTTGGAGAAACGACCCAAACTTATGATTTTTTCAATGGAATGGTATTTTATTCCTAATTTTTTTTCCTTCAAAATGATATATTATGTACCAATAAATATAAAAATTGCAGAAATGCTCCAAAATCACTAAAACATTGAATTTTAAACAGATTGGATGGATTTTTTATGAAAAAAAGTTCCAATTGACGGAATATTTCCTTTGATTTTTCCTCGGATTTTTCCATGAAAAGGACAAAAACAATACCAACACTAATTAACTAACCAAACTCAAAACTGAGTTACCTGATAGCAACAAATAAATAGTAATAAAAAGTTCATAATTTGGAATAAGCACCTGATCAAATATTTACTAAAACAATTGAATTTCGAAATTATTCAGTAACTTATTCATTGAATTGTTCAAATTGATATCCATTTTCCTTTACACTATTTCACTATTAAAATTCAATGTTTTTGTAATTTTTTAGCATTCTTGAAAATGTTATATCTATACATCATAAATTATTTCGAAGGGAAAACATAAGGAATTTAATGAGCTTATAAAATACTGGGTACATAGATCTAATATCTGCAAAACCGTACCCCGAAAAGAAAAATTGAGTGCGCCACTGGATTCTGCGTAAAATTCTCTATAGGATAAGATTTTAATTTGTCATTTTCGCTTAGGAACTTCGATATACAGGGGGGTCAAGAAGTATACATTTTCAAAATCGCCCTGTATCTCATAAACGGAAACAGTTCCACAAAACCGCAAGGTTCTATCTCCAAAGCTAACAGATATAATGCAAAAACATCGAAAACTGGACACACTGTACATAAAAAACATTCAAATAGCATGGAGAATCTTTTGAGGTCTGTTATGTGAAAAATGTTTTATTCTATTTAGCAGTTGGACTGACTGATTGCATATATCAATCCTGAAATTGAATTTGACTTGTTGAGAGAATCTTGCAATTATCTAAATTGAAAACCAAATCTTATAATCCAGTCAATTATCAGCTTTACCTCTCAATCATTCCTACTTTCATTGCAATTACTTTTGTTACAATCAACCTAAGAGCAAAAATAAACTTGCAATAATTGATGATTAAATTAATTTTGGGATGATTATTTTTGAATTCAAATATCAAAATACATTGAATAACGTCTCAAAATATCTCAAATAAATGAAATAATGAGTGAAGGCGTTTCTAGAGACGGAATCGTGAAATCTACTCAAGTGACAACACGTAATCTCAGTCTTGCTGTAGCTGATTGTTTCTGGAAAATGGTGAAAGAAAGCGTGGACCAACAAGCAGACGCATTCAAAGCGAGACGTTACAACTTGGAAAGTGAATGGAAAAACAATTTTCCTAGGTAGATGATTCAATATAATCTCCAAATGAAATGCTGAAAGTCCTCGTATTTTTGGTTTTGTAGATTGAGAGAACAAGACAGAGACGAACTGTTCGAGAGAGCGAGAGGGGAGATTCTCGATGAAATCGTCAACTTGTCTCAAGTCAGTCCCAAACATTGGGAAGAGTGTTTGCTTCACAAGATTTGGGAGAAAGTTTCCACACATGTTTTTGAAAATATTTATATTCCAGCTGTACACACTGGATCTGCAGGTAAATTCAGTTCAGGAAAAAAAATATCATCTGATGATTTGAATTTATTTCTACTTTCTAATGTTTTTTGTTATTAGAGGATCAACGTTTCTACAGTTTATTCGTTCATCGTCAGGGCACTGAAAGATATATTTCAACAATACACAAGAAAGTAAACTGAAATAATATCAGATTTCATTTATATTTCAAGTATAATTTTTTGAAAGCAAAATAGTCTAGTATATTTTCGTCTGTAGTGACTGTATCAAAACATTGCAGTAGAAATCCCACTTTTAGTGACATTTCGGTATTTTTGCAAGCCCTTACTATATCTTGAGAAGTTATGTAGCACTTGTTATCTTGATCTACAGTCCGAAATATTTCCAGTATGTGAAGTTCAGTGTCGTTCAGGAATTCGTATTTCTCTTGAAAACATTTTTGTAAGTAATCCATGCAGATGTTTTCGTCGTTTCTAAAATATGATTGTACTTCCTCGTCTGTTGGTTCTTCTCCAAACATTGCCACACACAGAATAGTGAAATCTTTTCTGTTGAATTGGGTTGTATTGTCTAATAATTCACATGCTGCTCTGGAGATTTCTTTTCCTATTGAGGATGACATTTCATTTGTCAAATTGACTTTTTTCATTTATTTTTAAACAAAATTTGAATTTGGTGTGGGATCTTTATACAGCATGTCTCAACCCCCCCCCCCTCACCTCTGTATCTCAGCTATCAGTCATGCGATTCATACCAAATATCGACACGTATCCTCTTAGACAGTGCCGTGCGTTGAGTGAGATAATGGATTAGTACTTTATAATTGCCAGATGTATCTGATAAATTGACAAGTAATATGCCTTAATTGCAAGGTGAATCTGGCAATTATACTTACTGCCAGATTAATATTGCAATCAGAGTGATTGTCAGATAAATCTTGGGAATAATAACTATGATTATGATGATGATGATGAAATGTTACAAGGAGGGGGGCAGTGTTTCAAAAATGGTGAAACATCGCGTTACGTAATGAATCAGAATGCATGGCCCCCTTAGATTCAATTCAATTCAAAATATACTTTATTGTCGAAGAAAAAAAATTCTTATTGACAAAGCATGAATTTGTCTTAAATTTAAAATATATAAATAAAGCAATATATTGGACAACGGAAAGTATGAAAGTTCACATTAAGACAAGACGTAAGATTCTACAAAAATTTTAAGAAAGACATGGGCTAATAAATAATTTGAAATCAGGCGATTTGACCTCACAGGTTTAGGTACTCAAAATCTGTCTTGAAAATATTCTCCCAAGCTGTAATATGCTTTTGAAAGCAGAAGTTCTTTCACACGCTTTCGAAATGCTTTCAAGTCTGTCATACTTTTCATTTCAGCTGGTAGATGATTAAAGATCTCGCGACTCTCAAATATAATTGAATTTTTGGTCATCGTTGAAGTGGGTTTCGGCAGAGGTATATTGGCTTTTTGCCGATTGTCATATATATTTTCTGAAGAAAAATTGTCTTTTCTTTTTTGTATGAGACATACTGTTTCTAAAATGAAGATGCAATAAATTGTTAATATTTTATTCTTGTTGAACAGTGGTCTACAGTGATCCAAACGCTTAGCTCTAGATATATATTTAACCGCCCTTTTCTGTAGAACAACTAGAGATTGTCAGATTGTATCAACTGCTTGATACAGAAACCCCAAATAGCGGTACCATATCTCAGATGCGACTCAACTAATGAAAAATATGTTGTTTTGCCTGCTACTATTCCCAACTCATCGGTAATGACCCTGACAGCATAACAGCCTGATGCAAGTTTTTTGTTGAGATATTGTATGTGTTCATCAAACTTCAGGTTTTCAGAAGCGAATTTGAATGAGATTACGTTAGTCTTATTCACATTGAAACATAAAGAATTGGAATCACACCAAGATTTGACTCTCTCTAAATCAACTTCAATTATATTTTTCAAGGAGTTTATGTCATTTCCGTGCCATAGTAGGGTCGTATCGTCTGCAAACATTGTAAACTTTCCTTGTATGTCGATTGGTTTATTCCTCGTTAGAGACCTTCAATACGGCGGTCGACATCAAACTGCGTCAGTGGGCGGACTCGGAGTTACCCGCAAGGGCGGTCGACGCTGGCTGGGAGACGCTGCAGTCCGAGTTCGAGAAGTTCATGCGCAAAGCCGCCACCGCCCCCGACCACGACGACATCTTCGATCAGCTGAAGGAGGCGGTGGTCGCTGAGGCCATGCAGCGGCACAGCTGGGAGGGCAAGGCCTCCGAGATGTTGAGGGTAAGTAATAAATAAACAAGGATTGCAATTCTGATTGCAATTCCCATATGAATCTTCATGTCATTATCGTATCATTATCTATCAAGCGACGAACATATTGGTCCTTCGAGCCGGATCAATATGTTCGGTGCACAGCTAGGATGGCAAGGCCTCCGAGATGTTGGGGGGTGAGTAGAAAAGTTTCATGATTGAATCCTAAAATAGGCAAGAACACAAATTTCCAGAAAAAAATATTTGTTTTTATTTATTTGAGTACCCTAAGGATGTGTTCATAAACTTACTCCTATTAGTAGAGTGAGAGTATGGTTGATTAGTACTTTTATAACCCTATATAATAGTTTGTTACTTGTATTGCCGGAGTTGGGCCCAGAGTGTCGTGCAGGCCTTATTTCTAGCAATTGAAAGTCAGCCGCTACCCCCTTTTCTATGCAGGTCATTCAATTGAACGCCTTGGATGACAGGACTATAGGCGACAAACGAGATTGGGACGAGGCCGTCAAATTCCTGGAGTCCAGCGTCAAGGAAAAGCTGAAGGATAGCGAGAGAGCGTTAAGGGAAATCCTAGGTCCTTCTACCAAAGAAAGATGGCTCTATTGGAGGTACCAAAACGACGTAGAATCGAAAAGGCAGAGCGTCAAAAACGAGTTGGACAAAATCCTGCATTCCAATGAGGTGACTAATCGAATTCCGTTGGAATGTTTCATTTTTAGGTACAGGTGTGCTTGGATTAAACGGAAACGTTTTTAACGAGCAGACCTGTACCTCAGAAATTATTTAGCACTGTTAATACATTCCTTGCACGGATTGTTGTTGGGAACTTGTTATTTTCTCAGAAACACCCTCCGATTCTGAGCTACGATGAGCTGACGACCATCCGCAACAATTTGCAGCGCAGCGACATAGAGGTGGATAACGAGTTCATCAGACAAGTGTGGGAGGCCGTCCATAGGCGGTACTTTCTCAGCAAAGCGTTACTCAAGGTGATACTTCACTCATTACTACTATTTCTAGACTACCTTACTGATAACTGAATGGGGAAGTTTCCTCCAGATGAATTTTCATAAAATAAGTTCGGAACTCTCCAGTTTTATGTCCACGCTGTACAGAATGGCGACCGATAAAGTCCAAGTCGTTTTCATTTTCAAATTAAAGCAATTTCTGATTCCGAATCTAGTCTGAAAATAGCTGATGGTGAAGAATATAGCTAGTGAATAGCTAAGGAATAGCTAACATAACTACAAATGCACTCGGAGCAGGAATGCAGAAGGTAGTTGGCTTCATTCGGACAGGTTATGGTTTTGTTATTTATGCATTGAAATATCTCGAGTAGAGCTCGATCCTAATCGAAAATATCATTGAATCAATGAATCACTATCGGCTACATTCAATGATACTATCCTTCCTAACTTCCTGCCATCGGTCAGAACAGAATGAAGCCGACACCCATGGCTCCTTCCTCTTGTTGTGCCTGTCAGTATTTTGAGTGGTGTGGACGGACTCGAAGTATTAGGCGCTGTTGCAAGATATAATCTGCAACTTTCGTAGAAAATAGATCCGGTTTATTAAGGAACGAATTCATTACCAAAAAATGACTGACAAGTTATGAATAACATATTGTAATATAACGATAGTGGAAAATTATAGATACTATCGCAAATTTATCTTTATTAGCAATCAACTTCATTCCAATGGGAGATTTATGGGAATTATTCATAATACTTGACAAAGTAGGATTGAAGAACCTATTATATCCCATTGCTGTCATGATATAGTTATTATGCATTCAAAGAAAAATTTCCGGAAATCTAGACATATTGATGATGTCGGCAACGTCGTACTGGCACAGGGAATCGTATTTCAACTCTGTGTGAATGTGGATTTCCAGATAGTACGTCATAGGAATGGTGGAGGAGCCAAGTTCCTCTCTTATTTATTTTTTTCTGACGTGAAATTTGATCTTTCGAAAAAAAGAAATAATACGTATATATTATTTTTTTACAAACTTCACAGCGAGATAAAAACCTCAATATAGAAAACTTCCCCATTCTGATTGATGTTACAGAATCGCCTCCGAAAAAAACTACGAGTACGATCCTGGATCAAAAAATAGCACTAAGCAAGTACAAGTAGTACTTGGTTGGTTTTTACGTACTATTCACAGAGCAGTGGAAATCAAAGTGTATCACTTGAGAAGTCACATCAACCAAAAAGTCAATTTCTCTGAGATATTGCCGATTCCAAATGTGTTTTTTCTATACCAAATCTATCATACAGATTTCAGTCTCTGCAAAAAGCTTCCAGGTAGATTTTTTAATACTTGATCAATGCTGTTTTATTACCAACATATTTTTATTGATTCTTCATTCACACTTATATCCAAAGAACTTATGAATCCACTGGCGCCCGAGCACAGTTCCGAAAATTCGAACTCTGAGCGAGCTTCGGGCAAAATTGCGGGCCAGTGGAAATCATTTCTTGACATCAGTCGCTCTTGAAATGTCCGGTTGGCCACGCCGAATGCACTCAGTTCGGAAAAAGTTCCAACCAGTGTGACTAGCGAAAAAATCTTCTAGTTTCATAAGAAAAACATGAGTGAAACATGCGGTTTTGTTTATTCCACCATACATTTATAATTCCCCTGAAGCGAATGTTTCCTGTAATGTTACCATTTTATTGGCACAAATTTTATGAAATATAATGGTTACATAGCAGATATGATGAATCACTTCAGCCCCAATATAAAATTTCTCTCCAGTTTGTTAATTATCTTTTTTTGGTAGTTGTATCTACAATGGAGCGATTTTTTTTTCATAGGCTCATGACTGCCGAAGAGAATTTTATTTGTACCACCAGCAAGCTGACGTCGATTGTTCCGATGTAGTGCTCTTCCACAGAATCCAGCAGATGATGAAGGTGACCTCCAATGCACTTAGGCAACAGATCACCAACAGGGAGGGTGAGTTGAATATGATGTTTTCAACGTTTATTTCTCTCGTTAGTGTTTGCTCAACGTGATGAACATTTTTTTTTCTCGAGTTCAGTTCTGTTTATATTTCCAAATGAAGCTGTAATTTTTATGTAGCCACCGTGAAACACTCGTATAATTCAATAGATTATTTTAAAATTGGGTTTTCTTCTTCTCATGTGTAAATGTTTGAATATACAGTTTCTTTATTGGTTTTGTTAATTCACCCTAGATTATTGAGAAAATTTGAATTATTCATCAATTTAATTGATACATTCGAAGATGATACTCAGTTTGACAGTAATTGCTGTCAATACAAGGTGTCGCTCCGGGAACTGCATCGATCAATATATAGAAAACAATAGGTCGAAAATTTGGGAGTTCATGTTAATTCGCCAATATTTCGAAAACTGTTGAGTGTAGGTGTTATATTATGGTCATAATTCAATAAACACGAGCACAAATGACATGGACAAGGGTTACACTTGCTCTTAACTCGGCTGCCTGCCGAACACTGTATGAAATATTCAGGAACGCACGATGTTCTTTGAACATTATAGGGATTCCCTTTCGTGCGCTCCAAGCGATAAAAAAAATTATTATATGCCAATATGAATTTCTATGCCTATTCTTCTTGTTCACAGCTAGGAGATTAGATAAAGAAATTAAGGAGGTATTAGAAGATTATAGTCAAGATTCAGAGAAGAAAATAAGGTTACTTACTGGTAGGAGAGTTACCCTAGCTGAGGAATTGAGTAAGTTTGGGTGTACGCTGTTATACAGTGAAGGAATTGGTTTTTGAAACGTTTTTTCGTTTTTCAGAAAGGGTTCGTCAAATTCAGGAGAAATTAGAAGAATTTATACAAGCGCTTAACAAAGAAAAATAATGTCTAGTCCCAGTTATTTTAAGATTCAAATATTCTTTTGTCCTTTTTCAACTTTTCAGTCATTTACTTTATTAATTTTGAAATAATAAATGTGTACATATTACTCACAAAAACAAAATTTGCATTCATCCAAGTTTTATGTTGAAAAATCGAAAATTAAAACAAATCATAGGTCCATTATTTTCTGATAGGAATACGTCAATTGTATTTATTTTGATAGATTCTTATTAATTGAGGGATCTATGTCCATCAGTTTGATATTTTTCTGAATAAAAATACTTTTAACCCATGTACTCAAATAAAAGTAAATGATTCATGCAGTTACACATGTTCATAACAGCAAAATTATTGTTTTTTAGAATTATTGTTTACCATAAAATCTAGTTATTTGTTTTGTTTTTCTTTTTATTTCTAGGAATTGATATTTATTTTATAATATAGAATTTTTTCTATACAAAAAGTTGTTATTGATTACAGTTAATAAAGCAGTTCAGCTAGCATTGAGAGAGAGAAAAAATGTATTTCTGAAACAAAAGCACATCAGTAATTACACCATATCTTACTTCCATCAGTGTTGGTAACATTGGAAATGGTAAAAAATTGAGATCATATTAACCTCAATATAAAAAAGGTTAGAATGGTCTTCTTCTCCCTTTCTTCTCATTTCCAGTGTGGTCAACATGAAATTTTCATTATTTTATGTTGGAACACTGAAGACAAGAACAGATGAGGAAGACATTTTTTTCTCTCTCAACGCTAACTGAACTGCTCTATTGAAATAGCATGATTTCATAAAGTTCTTGTTGCTAAACCAGGGAGTTTATTATTGTTTAAACATGTGATATATTAAACTGGTTCCAAAAATTTTGTTTAAAATTCGTTCTGATGCATTCTTATGTATTCTTCCTAATGGAAGCAAGCAGCATAAAAATATGTACTCCGAAAATGTGCATTAAACAACCCAAATATTCCTACAGTTTGGTTTAATCATTCTTTTCAATTACTTTTCAATTTTGACTCATCATGGATTTTCAGAGACTTCTTTCACAAACATTTTTTTATATTAATGTAATTATCATTTTGAAAATCTACATCTATTTATCTGAAAGAGCCTAGTTCCTACTAATATTATAAATGTGAAAGTAAGTTTGTTTGTAAGGCTTTCACGCCAAGACTACTCAACCGATCATGATGAATCTTTGTATACATATTCTTAGACGTATTAGAAAGGACATGGGATACTTTTTATTAAAAAATAGTTATTTATTTTACAAGGGAAAAAAGTAGTAGATTTTAGCTCCAGGTTGTGTTGACAAAAAACCGTGAGCTAAAATCTCATCCTGCGTTGCAGGTTATATCGTTCTCTTGAAAATGAAGTAATCTAATATCTGTCAGTCCATTGTCGTTCTAGATGACAACCTAGTTAGCACAGATTAACAAACCTTAGTTAGGTAGTTAGTAGACAAGAGCTTCAATACCTCCTCGCGTACTAGGTCGCCTACTAGGTTTTCATTTAGATCGACAATGGTCAGTCCAATAATGTGATTTGATTTAAAAAATACTGCAAATTTAGTGGTTGTTCAGTAATTTACGTAACGACGAAGTCTCGGAGACGGTGTTCAAGGCCATCAACAGTATAAATATACGTGATATATACACTGTTGATGGCATTTGTTGTGCCATAGTTCCGAAAAATAAGAAAATAACACCGTCTCTGAGGAAGAACGGCACGTTCTTTTATCTCCCATTCGACTTCGCGGTTACGTATATTACTAAACAACCACAAAATTCGTAATTTTTTTAAATCAAATCACAGAATTAGACTGACAGATATTTGGTTACTTCAAAAGAATGATGAAGATGCCTACAACGCACCTGCGTTGCATTACTGTTAAACACATCAAGTTTCACGTCGATAATTTTCTGATTTTAATAATATAATGTAATATCTTCTCAATATTGATTCGTCCTTTTTCCTGTCACAGGAAAAGGAAGGGAAAAATTTTAGATTTTAGCTCACGGTTTACTGCCTCCCTCCACTACGCGTCGGAAGACAACACAACCTGGAGCTAAAATCTACTACTTTTTTCCCTTGTATAATAAATAAACTATTTTACTGTGGGTAAAAAAATATTTTGGCAGACATGATTGTTGGACACAATATATCCAACAATCAGACATGAAACTCATATACGTTCGGTACCTGATATAAATATTATTATTAGAATACGTCTTTTGAGACTCCTAAGTCTCGGAATATTCAGATGATGAAATTAAAATATCTAGCCTAACATCAGGTGGGCACTTCGAAGGCGCAAATCCATTACGAATGACATTGACGTTTCAGTCTTCTGCGCAACCAGAATGCACGAATTCAATACTACCTGAATTGGTCCATATATAGAGACAGTGCACAACAAATAATCTAGGCGGAAACATGTTGTGCTGAAATACATTTGACATGTTTTCAGTTTTTGAAACTTATTCATTGTATGTGGTAATTTTTAAATACTGAATCACATTGGTTCTATCAATTGGTGATTAATGATCTTTGATTTTTATTTAACGGCTTCAACGCGAGCGCTAGTATAATATAAAACACTGAATTATCCAACCATTATTTATTCATAATTGATATTGATGACAAAAAAATTTAATAAAAAATACTCATTCATGTGAGTACAAACACCAAACTTTCCTGATACACTATCTCAATCCATCAACTGCAAATTATCAAACTTTTCAGTATCATAAAACCCAGCCTTGACCTGTCTCCCGCCAAAAAACCTCCCGTTCAAATCCACCACGGCCTTGATGGCACTCTCGATCCTCAAAAACTCCACGAAAATCCTCACAGCCTCCTCAGAATCCTCCGTTTCTATCTCATTGATGACCACGCTGGCCACTGGGCCATACTTTGTGTTGCACTCGTCCTTGACTTCCGGCTCCAAATCGTCATCTACCTCACCTGGACCTGTCATATTTTTCAGCAAAACAACCTGAAATATATAATAGACCACTTCTAGATGTCTGTCCTAGAATCCGGAACAATAATCAGAGTGATACAGATGTAGAAACACAATACCCGTAACTTTTTTCGACCAGTTTAGGATTTTCAATGCATTAGAAGGAGATGTCCTGAAACCAGTCGACCAGTTCAAAATTTATCGGATTCACGCGATGGATGATCAAGTATCCAACTGGACTACTATACATTGATTCATCCTCATTTCGTAGCTAAACGCGTCACCGTTTTTAGCAGGAAGCAGGCTCGCTGTTCAGTGCTCAGTAAGTATGGAAATATTATGTGATGAAATAGCATGTGAAGTTGTCTGACTTATCACCAGTTATCAGTTGAAATAACGGCGTTCCATTGCATGTGAAAAATTATTTGCTGCAATATTCAAATCTTTTTTTTTCCTCTTGTGAAAGTGAACATTTTAGAATTCGCAAGAAATTAGGTATTTTATTCTCAGCCGTTATATGGGCTTACCAATGCCACGATCCGACTAACTGACACCTAAACAGTGTTGCCAGTTGCTGTGAATGAAATGTCGCGAGAATTCATAGGAATGTGATATAGAAACATTCAGATGATCAAAATATCTTCAAAAAAGTACTTCAACATTTTGAAAATATCTAGATTCCTGACATGTTGCATTATTTCAACAACAAAAATTGTAGAAATTAGTTTTATTTCTACATAAAACACATTTGGAAGGTTAATCAGAACTTATATATTCGAAAAATCAGGCTTAAGCCAACAGAACTATGAATCTTGTCCTGAGGTATACAGTGTGCCCTGTCTCACTTCAAACGCCCCCCCCCTCTGGGCCTCCCTCTATATCTCTGCTATTAGTCTTGGATTCTTAGATTCTTACCAAATGTGGACCCATATGAATAACCATCAAAATGATCAGTTTTTCAGAGACAAATATCTATTTGAACAGTGCCGTCCTTTTATATTGGAATAAAAAGGGGTCTATTTTCATGAAATCATATTAGTAATATTTTTGATAGAAAATCAACTTCATATTATCGTTTCCCTTGCTTTAGAACCTTCATATGCATTAAATCACCTCATTCCAAGCGAGTTCCAAGCCATCAGGATATTCTTAATTAGCCTCGAAAAAATTCAGCTAGCCTTGAGAGAGACAAAAAATGTCTTTTCCATCTGTCCTTGTCTTCAGTGTTCCAACATAAAATAATGGAAATTTTATGTTGGCAACACAGGAAATGAGAAGAAATGGAGAAGAAGACCATTCTAACCTTTTTTATATTGAGGTTAATATGATCTTCTTCTCCATTTTTGCCCATTTTCCAATGTGATCAACATAAAATTTCCATTATTTACGTTGGAACACTGAAGACAAGGACAGATGGGGAAGAAATATTTTCTCTCTCAAGGACAGCTGAACTGCTCTATGGATGAAAATTTTGGATCGTTCTATGACCGGTAGGTAGCAAATCATGATTGGAAAGAAAAACAAGATACACTATTGTATGTTCAACTTACCGTTCCCCAGTAAATAATTATTATGTTCTCAAAAATGCTATTTAGATGTGGTGCCTGTTCTTTTGAAATCCTCTGCTGAGAATCATAATAATATGAAAATTTACATATAGACAAACCATAAAGATCAATATTATAATATTAGATCAGTTTTTCAGTAAAAAAAGTCCTAATGATTTCATAAAAAATTACCCCTTTTCTATTTAATAAAAACGCATGGCATTGTCTAAAATAATGTTTGTCTCTGAAAAACTGTCCATTTTGATGGTTATTCATACCAGTCCAAATTTGATAAATATTGCACCACTAATAGCTGAGATATAGAGGGGGAGGCGTTTGAAATGAGCATGCCATATATTGGTCAGATAGGTAGAACCTACGACCACCGTATTCAGGAACATCATGAATTTTTGAAAAAAAAACATGTTTAAATTTTGAAATTGCACATGTAAAAGGAATTAATCTTGAACATTTGGAATCATTAGAAATGGACAAACACAAAAATTTGGTAATGAAGCATTTGCAGAGAAATGTTAGGAGAAAAAAGAAGAGGTTCATTTTGATTTGAAAAAAAAACCCTGATTGAATCTTGATAGGTAGGTACTGAATTTTTGAACACCTTGTAGTGAAATTGAATGTACACTGTTTGACAAAATTTATACAATGTTTGGAATGTGCCAGTTTAGAGATTTTGTACATGGAATTTTGTGATGATTATTGCTTACCTTGCTAGGATTCTTCATTATTTCTGTTATAGGAGGATCTGCAGCCTTAGCTGGGCTGGCTCCATCAATTAGTGGAGGAGGCATGATTTCTTTCTCATGTATAATTCGTCCACCCCTTTTGGATGTTTTTTCTACTTGCAAAGCACTGGACATTCCTTGCTCCATTCTGCCAAGGCCTTGACCTTCTTTAAACCCATATCTATCCAAAGACAACAGAAATCAGGAACATTCAGAGAAATAATTCTTATCAGGAAAATAATAAACATTACCTTGCCATAATTTTAGCAGCAACTGAACCACCATATGTAGCATTAGGTTGCAACTTGTTTGGCAATATGGGGACAGACTCAGGCTGTTCCTGTAAACTGGGAGGAGGAGCAATAGCAGCTCCCCCAGCAGCTCTTGGCTTCTTCTCTATCACAGGCTCATCATCCTCCTCTGCCCACCTACCTGGAGAAAAATCAGAAAAACAAGTAGAGATGGTAGTCATTTTTTCCAATTATCACTTGGTTAGGAGAAAGACTTACCTGCAAAACCACTGCCTATTGCAGGCTGGCTCATCTGTGGATTATTCACAACTCCAGGTGGAGGTGACAGACTCTCTTCAGGATCACTGAACCTGCTCTTCCTTTTCTTGTCCCGCCGCTTTTCTTCCTTTTCTCTGCCTCTCCCTTCCCTATTATTGTCCCTATCACGGTCTCTGTCTCTACCTTCATGTATCTCACGGGGCTCCCTGTCTCTATCTCTGTCACCTCTCAGGTGATCCCTGAGCTCTTTCACAACTTTCTCATACTCATTGGGCCACAGAGGGTCATATTCATCCACTACATTCCAATCGTACTCACTGCTATAAACGCCAGAGCTGATGATCGGTAATCGCGCTTCAACTTTGCCTTTTGGGTAGATATTGTACTCGTCATCTTCCTTTTTGGATTTTAGATCTATAACTGGGGCCAAGCTAACCGTCTTTCTGAACTGCTCCCGTTTGGGTTGGGTAACGGTAGCCTTTTTCAGCTGAAGTTGGGACTGAAGGAGCTTGATACTGGACGACCAGCCTTGGAGTCCTTGTGCTTTCTCGGCTGCCGTGTTTTTCACATCGTAATCATCATATAGCGACATTTCTCTATATTTACCTTGTTTTTATTTACTAGAAAAATGGGAATGTCAAATTTGTGAGTGAGGAAAGTTTGGTTAGTTTCCCAGATTTGAGACTTCTTCTGTTCTACACATCTTGATCTCGCCGTGTTTCTTGCCATTTCCATCATTCCATCTACTGGCTAAAGTACCTTGTTCAGCGTTGCCAGACCTACTGTTTTAACAGTAGATGTACTGTTTTTGTCTGTTTTGTTCTGTTCTGAGCATGAAACCTACTGTTTTGTTCGTTAATCCAAAATCAAAATTGAAAAATGACAAAATTTCACACAAATGGTTGTTGAAATTAGGCTTCCGAGTTGATAAAGTGAGGTTTCGCAGAAAATTGATGGGGCATCACAGTGAGAAGATGTATGACAAAAACATACTGGAATATTCAGATCAGAGATATCAGATTCAGACGGATTAAAAACCTTTGTTTATACGTCCATGTTAAAAACAGCTTCTATTTTCAACTTTTGGTGCGTCTGTTTTTACAAATCTTAGTTTCTATTTTATTATTTGTTGTATTATTTGTTTGGTGTACTTGCCAAACATATTTTTTTATTAAAATCTACTGTTCAGTTTTGATCCACTTTTTTTTCCTACCCATCTACTGCTATGGCAAATTTTCATCTGGCAACACTGTTTTCGTTTCGTTCAAAAATAAAAACAAACATGGCTGCACTTCGGCATATTTCACGAAAATTATTCTACAATTTTAAACCAGAATCCAAGCTAAAATCGGAAACATGTGCGATATGTATACGACTTTTGAATTATTCTGCCATAGAATATGGTGAGCCTAACAGAATAATTATATAAAATTTTGAGGTTATGTATTAATTTTCCAGACGAAAAACATGATCCAGCCCCAGTTTTTTTCAATAAAGACATCCAATCTTTGCTGAAAACGTTGACGAGAGTCGACTTAGCAAAGGTGAACCGTAGGAGGAAACTAGGAACCAAAAAACTAGAAGACCCTGAATACAAGTTCATGACAGATGAACAGCTCCATCAAGCCATAGAAAAAGCTAAGAAAAACACCGAAGAACTCTTACAAATCCCTCCTGTAGTAGCCCTGCGTAAGCCAACATCTAGAGTGCTGTCAAAAGATCCTGCTCTGCAAGGTTTAGAGAAATCTAGAATGGTTTTCACAGATATCACTTTTGGAGTGAAAGACATTGAAAGACTCATTGTTGTTCGTGAGCCAGATGGCACTCTGCAAGAAGTTGACTGGGAGATGAGAAACAGAATCAACCAAACTTATTTCCCAAGCACAGACAGATATATCAAGCCACCCAAGATGTTTTTTGGGGAATACTTTGAGAGTCTGCTGAACCGCAAAGAGTATGAGTTTGTGCTAGACAGAGCATGCACACAGTTTGAACCCAATGACCCCACTTATCAACGTGTGGTTTCAATAACCTACCAACATGTGAATGACAATGATGGGTTTGAAATCCTCAGGTCAACAAGGCATTTTGGTGCACTCACCTTTTTCCTTGTGTGGCACAAGAGTATTGACAATTTGATGTCTGAGCTCATTGAAACTGCTCATATTGAAGAGGCTGATAAGCTGCTTGAGCTCTTTACCAAAGTTCATGGGATTTCTTTTGAGGGTAGCCAGGAATTGGATAGGATAGAAGATTACATAAAGAAGGTGTCCAGTAAAAAAGCTGTGCTTGAATTGGGGGTGCAAGCCTACAAGGATTTGGCCAAAAGAAGGGAAGAATTGGATACAGGAATTGAAACTGCACATGGATTGAGGTAGAAATATGCAGTATAGTGATGTTGTTATTAATTCAATAGGATTAAAGTATGATAATAAAATTCCTACAATTTTGTTTCAGTTTTCTTTAACCCTATTCTGCATTTTCTAATTGCATTATTTCATATCTACATGTGATTATAATGGAAAAATACATGAAAATTTGTTGAACTAAGCTATACAGAGTGAGCAAATATCAATGTCTCAGCTATTATAAGAAAACAAAAAACGGTAGAAATAAACTGACAATAGATTCTTGAATGGCAAGCCGAATTTCAATATTTTTCCACTGTAACCTGAAACTGAATCATGACATCTTCAAATTCAGTTACTGGAAAACTTACCTATATTTCAGCATATTGAATTAGAGCTAATTTTCCTGATGTCCAGCGGTAATTCTTTGTGATCTTAGTCGAGCTTTCGACTGCGTCAACCATCAAAAACTGAGGTCGAAATTAGAAATGTATGGAATAAGAGGCGTATGTCTTAATTGGTTGTCGTCATTTCTTCACAATCGAAAACAATTTGTTTCCTTACAAGTGAATGATGAACATGAAACGTGTAGAGTTGATTCTGAGCCGTTAAGCATAAACATGGGAGTACCACAGGGCTCTGTATTGGGTCCCGTTCTGTTCATTTTATATGTTAATAGTATAGACAGTGTTATAAAAGAAAGTCATTATACTGCATACGCCGATGATTTTTCATTTGTGATCTCTGCGCGTGATTCCAAAATCTTAGAAAATAAATGTGCTGGCTCAGTAAGTCAGGTATCAGATTTCCTCAACAACCATGATTTATTTTTTAATGTCGACAAGACAGAGATTCTTCGTATCCACAATATTCAAAACAAAATAGAAGGTATTAGTTTCACTGTTGATAGCATGACATTAAGGAACACTAATCAGAGTGTGAGATTCTTGGGTATTTTTCTGGATGAGTTCCTTAACTGGAAGGCTCATTGTCAGCAATTAACTTCTAAGCTCAACTCTCTGAAGTTCCTTTTCATCAATCTCCGATCAGTTTTCAGTAAGGATCAATTACTAAACATATATTTTGCTCAAGTAGAATCTAGATTGAGGTATGGTGTTAGTTTCTGGGGTGGATCAACTGCTACAATGGAAGTGTTCATTGCCCAGAAGCGAATAATACGGTGCATAGCAAATGTTTCATCTAGAGAATCATGTAGAAGACTCTTCAAGGAATATAAAGTTTTGACATTGACATCTCTTTATATCTTTGAATTATGTGTATATGTTTTCAAAAATAAATCAACTTTCACAATGAATCAGAATCTACATACTTAACCATAACACAAGAATTAAGAATCACTTTCATTTGTCGTTAGCAACCCAGACGGCACTGGATATTCCTAGAATATTCTCTAAATATGCTAAAACGGAGGAGTATATTCCGAATATTCATCGATTATTCCTAGAATATATACATGCCTCTGGAACATCTAGAAGGAATATTCCAAAGTGATGTTCAGGGAATATTCAGGTATGAATTTTCCAGGAATATTCCCAAATGAATATTCTCTCTTGTATATTCATGAAATATTCCCAACTGAATGTTCTGTGGGGTATATTCATGAAATATTCTCAACTGAATATACTGTGCGGTAGATTCATGAAATATTCTCAACTGAATATTCTGTGGTGTATATTCATGAAATATTCCATGAATATTCCTTTGTTTCTCAACACATAAATACCCATCATTATTTCAGAGTTGTGAGTATCGAACATCAAAATTAGATGTAATCCCACTGAGCAAGAAACATCCTTAGGAGGTTCATTAACGTTAAAATATTGTATCCCCGGCGACGTTTCTGCGAACACAGCACTTGTACGTCATAATAACATAACTATGTGACATTGTTACTTTTAACGAACCTTCTATATCATAAGTTAAACTTTGCTACTTTATATTAACGTCACTAATGTGATTGTTATGTTGGTGGACATATAACGACTTTAAGACGGTCTTTGAGATGTCGATAGGCCTTCGACCAAACGTTACTAGTATGTTTTTTTGCACAGTGGGATGGGATTTTGAAACAAAAAGTGTTTATGATCCGATTTCGAACAACGCTCTCACAAGAAATTGATATGTACAACATCATTCAATTCGATTACTGGCCTAGTGGTTAAGGCGTTGGTCTGATAGTCTTGAGGTCACGAGTTCGATCCCTGCTAGGGTCACTTTTTTTATTTTAGAATATGTTTATTGGAATATTCCAGGAATATTCAACATGGAATATTCTTTTGAATATATTCTATGAATATCTGAGGAATTCCCATTCGCATATTTAGAGAATATTCCACAGATATTCCGGAATATTCCAGATTATTTCTAGAATATTCCAATATTCCAAAAGGAATATGATAGGGAGATTCATGGAATATCTGGTGCTGTCTGGGAAGGTGTAAAGTGCAGTTCATCTCCCCCGGACTGCATTGGACCTAAAGTATTCAATAAACTTCCTGAAGATTTGAGGTCTGTGAAACACATCATTATGTTCAAAAAGATGTTGAAACACTATTTATTGGAAGCATATGTTTTTATACAATTTCAGAATTTTTAGAATAAGATTAGTTTTAGGTATTATCGATTCTATTCTATCACTATTTTCTCTTCTCTATCTAGCTCTTTCATCATTTTCTACTACTGATTTATATCTTATATCATATTGACAATTCCCATACAATGTTATTTGTCGAAGTGGAAATAAAGTATTATTATTATTATTATTATTATAACACATTATTTTTGTTCTGTTTCTTTTGAAAAATGATAGACAAAGTTGTACAAAAAATATAAGAAATTTGAAATTGTCATGATTTAAACAAGTAGCTTTTGGAAATGAATGGCAAAGGCACAAAAAAAATGAAAATAAATTTTTTCAAGCATGAACTTTTATTCAGAGGTTTCATAAATACCAATTGAGAGTGAAGAAAAGAACTGAAATATCGAAAAAACCCATAACATACATTTTCAGAAAGGAATTTTCACATCAAAATTAGCCCCAGTTCCAAAAAAAGTGAAGCACTTGATATTTGACCTATCTGAAGAAAAAAAAAGTAGGCTGATTTTTTTTTTATTTGTTGGTAGGTAATGCATTTGTCTTTAAAAAAAATAAAGAGGTGAACATTTTTTCAAAGCCTTGATGGTGGTGGAATAACTCGAACCATGATTTATTCTCAATTTTTTGACTCACCCTGTGTGTTAATTGAGTAATGGTATACAAAGTGCTTACACCCTATACGAAAGAGGCTTCTTTTGCGAGCATTTTGTTTTTTTATTCATCGATTTATCTCTAAAATTTTCCGAATTACAGCTTTTTTGCTGATACCTTACGCTTATCCCACAAATCAAATTTATTGAAGGATCAGAGTACTCAAAATTGATTGGGTTGTACTCTGGTAGGATCACATTGTCTTTAAAAAAACAGGAAGCACCGCTCGGAGGGTCGGTCCTGGTCGCCCCCGAAAACCTTCTCCAAGAGATGATCGCTTCGGAGATTGCGGATTTCACGGAATCGATCAAATACTGCGGTAAATGTTCAGCAAGATCTTCGCCAAATTCGTATTACCACATTACAATGGCCTGCGAGAAGCCCCGATATGAATCCTATAGAACATTTGTGGGATGAATTAGGGAGTAGGGTACTTTCTCGCGAGAGGTCTCCGGAAAGTCTCGCAGAAATGGCAGATGCATTAGTGGAGGAATGGGATCGTATATACCTCAGATCAACAAAAGACCTTTGTTGATCTGAGGTATATACCAATGGAAACGATAAGCAACTTAATTTCCAGTATGCCTCGTAGATTAGAAGTTCTTAGAGTTGCTAGAGGAGGCAATACACGGTATTTAAGCAGTCATCCCAATTTTTAATTTTGTGTTTAATAAAAATGTTTTTTAAAATTATTCGTAAATAAGTTTATTTCATTAGAAAATTGTTTTTCAATAAATTCAGAAAGTTGGTAATCTGCAAGGATTCAGCAAAAAAAGCTGTAAGCAGCGATATTCATTTGTTTCATCTGGTTTAATTCTCTGGAGGTTCAGAACAAACCCTACAACTTTTGCATTCAAAGTTTTTCTCTATCTTCAATGATAAACCCTGTAGAAGCTGTTTAAATATACGGAATGACCCTGTACCTATAATATGTGCCACTCTGTATGAACCAGTTTGGGATTGTTCAATGGCGCCACTCTGTACTTTGTAGGATTAAATTCTGATACAAGTTCATTGTATTAATTGATAATGATATACTTATAGAAGGGGAAGGTCGTTTAGCTAGGCGATTAAAGGTTAACTATATCAGTATACACAATTTGATAAGACTGATTAGTAAGTAAACCTACTGGTCGTTAGAAATATTATAAATAGACTGCGACCACTTAGTGATCTGTGACAAGCCAAAGTATCTAGTTTGGTTGATTATTGAAGAAGAGTGATTTGTTTGTCTTGAAAAATGTCGTACAACGTCAAGGTCCAAAGAGTTTTGGTAGCAGATGCAGTAGATGCATCTTGTGTTGACTTGTTGAAGAAAAATGGGATAGAAGTTGATTGTAAATACAAGTTACCCAAAGATCAACTCATTGTGGAAATACCGGTGAGTAAAAAAATTTAAATTCTCGCTTATTATATTAAAGAGTTGTCTACAAGAGAAGAAAACAACATTTTTATATCCAAACTGCGAGAGCCCCTAATTGAAACTCCATCAAAATCTTCTATTTATTCAAAAAAAAATCGAAAAGGAATATTCTCAGGTATATCTTGAACATGAAAGAAATGGATGTACCTACATATGCATATAATGAAATATATCCAGAACTCGCATTCTCTATATGTGATGAAAATAGTAATTCTTTCTCATGGGGTTCAAACTTATTGAAAGATGGAAATTTGTTATTTTTATATAGACCTCTAATCGCAAATTCGTGATCGTGTTTTCTCAATTCAGAATTTCTTTCCACGCCCTGTATGAGTATGATGAATATTTATTTGTCATACATCCAATCTAAGAAAAATACCGCCGAAAAATGGGTAAAACTAGCTCATTCGCCAAAATTTCAAGTCGATATAATATTGAAAAATCCAAATTCAACTGAAGCGTCACAAACTTAAAATGATCCAAACCCCCTATAATTCTAATTATTTCTCGTGTTATATTCTATACTGTAATTTTGATTTAACGGTATTCAGATGGCAATTGAAAAGTTAATGTTAACAGTCTTATTCGTCTGTTCGCCCGTTAAGATTATTTAACAGCCGGCGGCCGTTATAATATCATTGTGATATATTAAGCTGATCCATGACAACATGATGTTGGGATTTTTCTATAAAATTATGTTTTACGTGGTTTGTTCTTTGCGGGAGCGCATATAACGGCATTGTAACGTTATCATTTATATCAGATTTCAAATTATCATCAGTATCCTATTTTTGAATTTTTCATATAAGGTAGGTATTCGAAATTTTGGTGAAGGAGTATCAAATCACGTTTTTTTGTGTTAAGTCATTTATTACAAGTATACCTACAACAATGAATAATTGAATGATATTGTGAAAAGTGTTTTTGAAATTGGTGGCTCTGAATATATGACGCAAACTTTTTCGAAATTACAGATTCAATTTGGAAATTAGAAGATAAGAACTTGATCTAAAAATAGATTTGCAATAAATAACCGCTACTTTATTGCGACATCATATCAGTTGCTTCATGTTTGATGACGTCAAATTTGTGGTACCTACTATACAATTTGAAATCAACAATTCAATATCATAAATAAAACCTTCCAACGATTTTTTTTATAGAAATATGATGCTCTAATAGTAAGATCAGACACAAAAGTCACAGCCGATGTTATTGAAGCTGGAAAAAAATTGAAAGTAATTGGAAGGGCTGGAGCAGGTGTAGATAATATTGATATCAATGCTGCTACATCAAAAAATATACTCGTCCTCAAGTAAGTTTATGATTAAGTATTACGAAATATACAGGGTATTGGGTGTTCCCAAATTGTAATCCGGAAAATTTAATACCCAGCGAGCACAAACATCCCTGGGATGTTTTGGTATGTTTTGAAAATGTTGGCATGAAGTTATTTTGAGACGTAATATGCACTGACCAAAGAGGTATTTGAAGGATATTGAAGTATTGTTTTTGTTCTTCTGTGGCATTTGTTTGTTTGCCTACTGAGAGGTATCCCTGGGATGTTTTGGGATGTTTTAGAAATGTAGGCATGAGGGTGTTTTTTTGAGGCGTAATATGCACTTCCCAAAAGAGGTCTCTGCTAACGAACAGAAAGGAATTTGGTGAAGTTTATTGTGTTAGAAGACTTATTTAGTTTGTAATAATGACCATCAGATGCAAGATGTGTTGTTCGGTGCCTCAGTGTAATCAATATATAAAAGTACGAATTCATCAATACACAGCTTCTCCGCAGTTGCAAAATTATGCATTGTGGAGAACATTTCAAAAATTGGGAAACCTATTTCCAATTATATGTCTGTGTGTAGTAAGCACTACTCAGAAACCAATTAAGAAGGTGATTTCATATCAAGAAAATATTTTTATGTTCAATCTATTTTTAATACATTTTTTCATTCAAGGGAAATGGAATCCTGATGCAAAAGTTCATTTTGACAAAAGGCTTCAGAAAAGTACCTCGAAAATGTTTTTTTTACAGCGATTTAATGTGCGCAAGACGCGTTGAAAATGTTCTGTTGTGTCCATGAAAAGGCTTTAAAAAGAACTAGGGAGAAGGTAGTTTTGTGACATATCATGGACATCTCGATAATTGCCGCCTGCGGCGGACATTGGCTGTTCTATAATAGTTCTATTTATGTGTGAACAGAACATCGCAGTGGAGGTTCAATGTCTCGAAATCTCGTACTTTTAACATCTCTGAGATGTTTTTGTGCTCGCTGGGAGGCGATAGAGATAATATACTCGTAACGTAAATATAAAAATAAAAGTTCTGAAAACCTTGATGTTTTGGAGCTTCGTTTTTGGGAAAAAGGGTAGCCACGATTTTCGACTCAGCAGGTTCTTTTTTACTATGAATATATGTATCTTTTTGCGTTACTAGATTCACCGTAAATATTCCAGTGGAACCTCATCAGACCTTTGAACCTCCGAACAGTCTGTATGATCGAAGGATATATATCTGATTTTATGGTAAAAATCATATTGTTCTGTTATAAGTTTCATAATCTTATTCGATTTAACAGTATAGAAGACACAACTTTCTTTTTCTATGAGCAGTGTATTCGTATCTTGCTTAGTTTTCAAGAAAAAAATTGAGACGTGAGCGATATATGAATCAGATTCATTGAATCTGAATTCTAATAATGTTGGTCCATTTATGAAATCCATTGAGATTCCATTCAAATTTTTAAAGGTGCATTTTGTCTACTAAGAATACCAAGAAATACAGATTGATCCAAATAACACTATTCTAAAATATGATTTCATTGATTTCCTGGGCACTTTCCACGAATTTCTTGAAATTTTCAGCACTCCTGGGGGTAATGCAATCAGTGCCTGCGAACTGACCTGTTCCCTTATAACAACCCTAGCCAGAAATGTGGTGCCAGGGGCGGCATCGCTCAAAGCGGGACGATGGGACAGAAAACTGTACTCTGGACACGAATTATACGGAAAGACTTTGGCCATTTTAGGACTAGGCAGGATAGGAAGGGAAGTTGCTATTAGGATGCAAGCATGGGGTATGAAAGTAAGTATCAATCATCAATACAATAATTCAACCAACAAGTTGATTTCGAACTTATGTATTCATATACAGTGAGTTTCCAGAATTGAAGTGATGAATGATTATATCCCAGCGAGCACAAATACATCTCAGAGATGTTAAAAGTACGAGATGTTGAGACATAGAACCTCCACTGGCTCCACTGCGATGTTCTGTTCATACAGGAATAGAACTTTCATAGAACAGCCAATGTCCGCCGCAGTCGGCGTTTATAAAGATATCCTTGGGATGTCACAAAAATACATTTCCCTGGTTTTTTTGATAGACTTTTTATGGACATAACATAACCTTTCCCAAGCGTTTTGCGCACATTCCCCCGCTGGGGATTCGAACTCACTCTATAGAGATTGAATTTTTACAATCCTAGCACCTTGACGACTGAGCCATGGGAACCGTATTGATGAATGGTATGGATAGAAAGATGTCAACATGCACTTAGTAAGATAATAATTATTAGCTTTGAGGCTGAGAATAAGGGCGAGTCAGAAGAAACATTATAAATATTGATACAAGAATAACATCCATATCATATTTTGATACGATTCTGTATGTCGAATTGAATGTTCATGGAATATTTGTTGCCAGGATGAACATATTATTCTATGATCATTCTGAGCAGAACAGAACACGTTGTCAGAATATTATTCGTAAAGTATATTCTGGTGCTGTTTGGGATACTATTACGAATTATGGAGGTCGTTGGTATTATAACTAATACCTAATGGAATGAATAAAAAAGACACTGCAAATGCGAATGCGAACAAGAACAACATGCAAAATCGGAAAAAAATTAGAATTCATCGTATTGTGACGTGAGCATGAGAAATTGTGGTGGGGCAAACAAAGAAATGGCTCAGAAGAACAAAAACAATAATTTCAATATCCTTCAAAGACCTCTTTGGGAAGTTATATTACGTCTCAAAAAAACATCCGCTTGCCAATATTTTTAAAAGATCCCAAAACATCCCAGGGATACCTCTCAGTAGGCACACAAAGAAATGCCACAGAAGAACAAAAACAATACTTAAATATCCTACGAAGACCTCTTTGGGAAGTTATATGTTTCGTCTCAAAAATACATCCTCATGCCAATATTTTTAAAACATCCCAAAACATCCCAGGGATACCTCTCATCAGTAGGCACACATCAAAGAAATGCCACAGAAGAACAAAAACAATACTGTAATATCCTTCAAAGACCTCTTTGGGAAGTCATATAACGTCTCAAAAATACATTCTCATGCCAACATTTTCAAAACATCACAAAACATCCCAGGGATGTTTGTGCTCGCTGGGATTGATAAGATCAAATCGGTGAAATCGTATATTTCTCTTAAATTTTCAGATTTTTTTTCTATTTATTGTATATATTATGTAGCATACAAAACACAACCAGTATACAAGTTGAAAAACATATCTGAATGGAATGTTCCTATTATTCACAAGATATTAATCAGTTAGGTAACTATTATATACTTACACAATTTATTATTTTTTATTGATTCAGGCAAGATTTTTGTACTCACAAAATCAATGTTGCAATAGCAGAAATTAATGTGCTCACGCACTGATATACTGATTCTGACCCCCCACAATCTTCAAGATAATGATGTTTAAATAATCATCATGAAATGCATAATTTCAAGTTCCATATATAATTTACCTACTTATCATCAAAACAAATGATGATATGCAAAATTTCAAGTTCCATAATTTACTTATCATCAAAACCCGATTTATGATAAAATAAATGCTATTTGTCCAACTACAATCCAATCTCTATACTGGCTGTAATAAAACTATGGTTTGTTATAGGTTTGGTATAGGTCAGTGTTCGCGCTTTTGTTCATTTAAATCTAGGACAGAACTATGCCACCTATGTAGCAGTCAGGTGTAGTGTTGGTTGCCAATGTTTGCCATACATTTCCAAAATGATAACTATTTTTCAAAACTGGCACGTATGTTTTTGCTTTTAGAGTGAATCGAACGACTCTGTCCTAGCATCGAACAACAAAAAGTAGTTGTTCGATGGTCCTAGTAATACTCATAAGACTTCCTGTCAATTGCAACTTTATGCATATGAACCTCTTTGGTTTTTTCATTGGAACTATCCTGTTAATTTTACGAATAGTGAAAAGTGGTCCCCCGGTCATTTTCAATAATAATAAATGCAGTTTTCTTCTGAAAGTCTAAAAATCAGTATAATCTCTGACACAACCAAAGCTTCAGTTTCATATGGTTTCATTAATCTCTGACACGGGTTAGTCAAATTCGAGTAGATCCATATGGGGATCCGGAAACGGTAATAATATGAACTAACAGCTTACAGAGAGGGTTATTAAATGGAGGCAAAGTTGCGCAATTTTATGCCCAACAAAATGGCGTTTTGAAATTTGAAAAGGTCCGAATACTCTCTGTCTTTTTAAATAAACAACAAAGGTTTATGAAATAATACACCTTCAATTCCCCAATTTGAAAAATTACGAATACTCTGTCTTTTTGAATAAACAACAAAGGTTGATGAAAAAATACACCTTCATTTCCCCAATTTGATATAAAACCTACCACACAGCAAATAAGGTTATAGTGTGTATTCATGTGTTAAATTTTTTTTAGACTATTGGGTATGATCCAATTGTACCTGCAGAAGATGCACGGAAATTCAATGTTGAAGCTTTGACCCTAGAACAAATTTGGCCCCAAGCTGACTACATCACAGTTCACACTCCACTTATCCCTGAAACTAGAAGTAAGTATATTCCCCTCTTTAAATACACTAAATTATATGAATATTTTGTTAAGTTTGATTTTTTCTGCAAGAAAACTACAACATGCATATCATAAACACGAACATTTTTACTGTTGCAACTGATTCTTCCGATGATGTTTGTCCCTCACCTTCCGGTTTTTTTTATTATTATAATTAATATTATTACTATTATTATAAATATAATTTATGTTATTGTAGACTTGATATGCGAAGCAGTATTAAACAAATGCCGCAAAGGCGTCCGCATAGTGAACGTAGCTAGAGGAGGCATCATCAACGAGGTCGATTTGCTCAATGCGCTCAAATCGGGGCAGTGCGGCGGCGCAGCTTTGGACGTTTTCGAGCAAGAACCTCCCACGGACCCGGTCACTTTGGAGCTGATCCAGCAGAATCAAGTGGTCGCCACGCCCCATTTGGGCGCCAGTACAGCGGAGGCCCAGGTCAGGGTGGCCGTGGAGATTTCCGAACAGATTATTGCTCTGACGGGAAGGAGTCAAGAGTATACAGCGGTGCCCGGTGTCGTTAATAGGAGCGTACTTGACAGTTTGAAGAAATGAGTAGTCATTTTTGTAGATACAAACACCAAATAATAATTTTTTTTTTCAATAAAAAATGATTTCTTTTACTCCGGCTTTCACTACATATACAGGGGGTTTCAGAGTTGAGGTGACAGAAGCCTAGGGGAGATTCCTCTCAACAAAATATGACAAAAGACAGCAAATTAAGGTGAGTTCCCAATGCATCGTTTTTGCTTTTCGCGTCACGCGTCATGCATTCTGATTGGTGACGCGGAATTCGAGCATAATTTGAAGCGATGAAGTTAAAATATTTTAACTTTCCGGCAAAGAATATAGGTTCTTTGTTTCCGGCGTTGCTGCTAGGTGATATGTCATTTATATTTGATTTTGGGCTGTTGTTTGCGGTTGAATTTAGGTTATGTCTTGAAAAACTTTCAATTGATCATTCTAGAACACGTGATTTTGACATGGATTCTTGAGGGGCACACAAACTATCTGTTAGGTTACCTTTGATAAGCATAGCCCTGGCCATCCCTGCCACATTCACAACATGCAGTTTCACCAAACAAAATTATGGAATTCTTTCTGGTTTCAACTCCGATTCCAAGAAAAACGATCCCACTTATATATGACAAATCTTGACAAAATACAATGTTTGCCCCTCAGCAACCTGTCAAATGACGTAATTCTGGAATGATTAATAGTTTCAAATTTTATTAAAGTAAATACAGGAATGAACTATGGATAATGAGGACGTTCTAAGTGTAAGTTTATTTATTCTTATTGTTGAGAATTGTCTAATGATTGTTAAATAATTACCCACTGTGGAATGTGCACTGAAATCATCAACTGTAATGGTAGGTCTGACCCAGCATGATCTTATTTTTCCCTGTCTTCTTCGTTTTCTCAGTAGATAAGCTGATAGCAGCAATTTTCTCAATCTATTTTTGTTTCTTGCTTCCATTTTATAAGATTATTTTCATCTACTTTGACATTTTCCTGACAATAACGACATAGCTAAACATCATTCATTGGGAACTAAACAATAATCAAAAAAGCGGTACAGCAATTCCGGATTAAGCGGCGTTCACAACCAAACTTTTTACGTTTTGCTTTTTACGTTTCGTATTCTGATTGGTGAAGCAAAATCTGTAATTTACGAAAGCTCTGAAGGGACATGGTGAGATATTTTTTAAAAAAATATCTCCTACATTTTCTTAGCATAAAAATGAGGGAGATATTTTTTTATCTCAATATAATGAGTTAGCTATCTCATTATAATGAGATAAAAACAAAATTATATTTCTTCATGTCCCTCCAGTGCTGTTATAAAAATGTGAAAAATAATTTAAAAAAAATATCTCCGATGTCCCTTCTGTGCTGCATATAAAAATGTGATAATTTTTTCTGGGTCTGCTGTGTTGCCAAGTGTATTTGTATAATTTCTATGAGCTCGCACATGCGTGCAACGTTCGTGTTTACATATCATGTGATTCATGTGACCAATTGGGAGACGGAATATATTTTGCTCTTTCCCCTTGATCACATCTGATCCCCCTTCCCTTTATGTGGCTTCACCTTCCTCCCTTCAATTCAAAAGTTCGATGTGGTTCGACTCGTAACTCATAAATGTCATAAGCATAGATAAATTACTCTCTTTTGTTTATGGTCATATGTCATAAACAAACTAGGTACACTTTGACTACTGTTGGAAACATTGAGGCTTTGTACATAATGACGAAAGTTGTTCGATGATAATCAAAAATGTTTGAATGAGATGACAATGGTAGATTAGAAGTTGATTGAACAATCAGAACTAATGTCTGCTGCCTAGTGCTGATACCATCCTGGTGTTGAAAATGGGAGCAAAAGAAGCAAGGATAGAAGACTGATAGAAGCATGATGGGATAGAAGTTATGGTTTTACATTCTATAGACGAATAAACATTTGAAATATTGTATTCTCTGCCTGAATTCACTAGAACAGCAGAAGGTACTGTTCCTATGAAATGTGAGAAAGTAAAAAAGAAACATAATATGAATCATATTCTTTTCAGTTGTTGATTAATCAGTTGAAGAATGTTCTCAGACAAAAAATTAGATATGGTCTGGTCTATGTACACCCCTGATATGTTGAAAAAACAAATTTCATCACCACTCAGAGCTGGAAGGTACCAGTAAATAAAGGGTCCAGTAATGACAAAGGTGAGGAAAATATACCTACTCTTGCACATTTATTGTTAATGTCTCTGTTACTTGACTAATCACTTTTAAATGATATCTTTGCTTATCAATTTGTTACTTTACATCTATATTCTCATTGTAGAGAATGGCGACACTTCCAAGAAGAACAGAAACCCCCTGAATAGCAAGTTGATAATATGGAGTGCTACAAAAATAGAACTTGCTGAAATTTAGAAGGCTGCTTTTATAGAAGATCATCAGCTCAAACTCAAGCATTTGCAAGTAAAACCATGAACAGAAATGATGGAATCTACAGAGAGCAGAGATTGTGGATAAAATAAAATTCTGAAAAGAAGAACATATGAAATAAACATGACAATTCTTCAAGAAGAGAATAGATTACTGAAATAATGTTATTTTTGTATTTAGGTGGTATCTTTTCAATTTAATTAAAAATGTATATACATCACAGGTATCTTTCATGCCTTGTATCTAAGTTATAAAGGTTTTTTTTACTTATTTCAGATGTTTATTGTCAACAATCATGAATTAATGTAGGTATAAGAGATACATCATCCATACATTTGCAGGTTTTACAATGTTTTACTAATTCCTAATAATATATGAAAATAGAATGTTGAAGTAGTAAGTATTGGAACCATAATAAAAAATTGAACATATTTATTTTATCTTCAGCATTTATTCACATTAAGTTGGCAGAATATTTGTGTATGTCCATTGTCCACAAAATCTACAACAGCTTCCATTTCCTCATCATCTGGAGGTGCAGCATCTCAATTTTCCAACTTGGCTCTCAAATTAGAATTTCCAAAAAATATAAGCATCATGAGTAGCTCTAGCCCAGCAGCACACAAGGTTCAGTATTTTCAGCTCAGCATCACTCTGCTTGTGCATTGAGAGAGAACAAACCCTTTCAATTAAGATAATTTTCAGCTTGTGGTCCACAGTCTACCTCTCCAGTACATTTTGGAAATCTACCAATATTAAAGTAACCTTGTCTGGTCTGCTCAATGTGTAGGTACAACTAGGTCTAGCAATTGTTCTTGTCACTTAGCGTACAACTTGCTGTAGAATTAATCAATTGAAATCACTGGATCCTGTTGACATATACCATATACCACAATGTTACAAACACTTTTATATCAGGTGTGAGAACATGGTTCCTGAAGAATTAAAATTATATAACAATTGCAGATATTTCAGCATGAAACTCACTTTCAATCTTGGACATAATTTCTTCTGAGAATCTCACAGTTCGTTTTTCTAACCATAACCTACATTTGAACTCAATATCAGACCATATTTCAAAAGTGGCTGGGTCTATTTCTGAAGGTCTTCTGGGATGTAACCATGATGTAACAATCCATTCACAATTTGCAAAAGGTCTTCATCATCCGTTAATTCTCCAATCTCCAAGTAAATGCCTATCAGCTACCAGCGATTAGGGTATTTTGTTCATTTCAATCATTTCGAAAAATAAAATACAAGTATTCCATAAAAAAATGAAATCTTAAATGAAGCAAATGATTCTGTGACCAAAGACTATGACATTCTGTTCTGACATTGGGCTGTAGTTTCTGACTCTCTGCTTAATCTGTGTTCTGTGGATAAAATCAATGACGGCTAAATATCTAGAGTGTCTGACGGGTTAACCGGGATAAAATGCTAACTTGGAACAAGAACTCAGATTCACAGAAGCCCCTAATTCGGGGTTCGAGTAGTTTGATCATATAAATAAGGGCGTGTTTTTCATTCCATCGAAGAAAGTGCGCACTGATAGATGCGGTTTTTTGTCGTGACGTCACCAATTGTTCTGTTGGAATTTATGCTGGAAGGATTGAACAATGGTTTATACAACACATTGATGGAAACACGGATTTTGTTGTGTGTCAGTCATCATGTATCTTGAGAATCAGAAGAGGCTAATTCGATTTTATTGATTAACACTTACTCTTTCTTCTGAAATCTCTCAAGAATCTCAAAAATCCTCAATATTAATTGTTCTCTATCAAATCAAAACAAAAAACAACACTAAAATGTGTCAACTGTCATGTCAATCTCCTCCAAACTGCTGGATTCTCGAATAGCGATTTAAAAGTGCGCATTTTATTACAACAGTTTGATGGATGTCCACCAACATTCCAGCGGAATTTTGCAACAGTTTGATGGTTTCTTCGATCCATGCGCATGATAAAATGTTGGAATGAATAACGCACCCCATTAAGATTTCTGGAACATAATTTCGAATTCAGCGACATCAAGACCGGAAGTCTCAACTGAAGTTTTGGTTGTCGCTATAGACACGTTGATGTGTCTGTAATTCAATTTTTACGGACACGTGAACTGACGTCAATCGTGCACGGAGAATTGCTAGATGTTCTTCTCTCTTCGTAGATAGTTTATTCAACTAGGCGTCAGCAATCTCTGGCGTTAGCGATAACGACAGCGTGTTGGGATGTATTTTCCACCTTTTATTTTCCTCCATCCCCCCCCCATAACTCACTCACCACTGATAGCGACTGATCGTCTCCCCCACCCTCTTGGGTTACCTCAGCGAGATTACCTATATAAGGGGCTTGGCCTCAGACTCAGGAGATAGGCCTCTGAGACTAACACTTCGCAAATGCACCCACGTTCCTTGGCCACCTCTGCACCGCGCGGAGGACTCATCACAGAGCCCTGAGCTCTAATAATATGTTTCTCTCTGGAATGTGCCTGTAAATTTGTGTCGTAATGTAATTTGTGTGAACAATAAAAGTCTTTAAAGTGAGTTTAAAGTGTGTTGGGATGTCAACCCGGGGGCCCGAGTTCAATCCTCGCCGGGCTGTTTTTTTTTTTAAATTTCCAATTTGTTTTCAAGCCGACATGTTGGGTTAGGTTAGGTGTTTGGTTAAGGTAGTC